GCGATCGACTTGGAGTAAGCCGTGGCTTGCCTCACTGTGCGCGCGCCTGTTGCAGCATCACGCACCTGATGCTACCTTCACGTCGGTGTGTCTGTCCAACTCGTGTCAAAAGGACATTCACACTGATTCTTCCAACCTTCCAGGAACTACAAATCTCATCCTACCAGTGTGTCTTCCTAAGCGTGGGGGCGATCTTTGGGTTGAGTTAGGTAGTGGGGATGTTGTTAGGGGGTCTATTGTAGAGCACACTGATGCACGAGGTCGCAAGCGTCACGGTGTGGTGCACAGACTTGAAGAGGATGAAGTTTTCGAGTTTGATCCTAAGCGGCATCATTTCGTAACTCCCTTCAAGGGCACCCGCGTCGTTGTTATAGGCTACACTTCCGACGTGCTTGGAAAGGCCGAAAAAGATGACCTTGACGGCTTAGCAGATTTGGGATTTCCTCTCCCAGACTCCGCCTATCTCCAGGCCCCGCGTCTGTCTCAAGTACAGGAGGAGGAGGAGGCCACTGAGGCTCATGAGATCCCTATCCATCAACACCCTAGCTTCCCGGAGAGCCAACCCGTCAACAAAGGTGGTGGTTGGCAAGAGGTCTTTCCAGTTGCAGATGGGTTTGTAGACTTCGCTGTGAACTGGTCGTGTTCGTATCGGCCAGTTGCCCCTGTATGCAGCCCCTCTAAAGAGGAGGCCGGACCAGAGCAGAACCAAAGACCCGTTGAGATTGATGAGGCCTGGCCGGTTACTGTGTCTTGGGACATGTATGTTCCGCAGGAGCCCATGAGCGATGCCGCAAACGCCAGCAACTGCAGTTTGAGGGTGCTTAAGGTTGTAGAAAGTGGTTCGCGGAGCTCGTTAGAGGAGGAGGGTTTCGTAAGCGAAGGTAGACCCGTAATCCCCTACCGCCTGTGCAAAGCCGAACCGACGTTCACGAAGAACATAGAACACCTTCTAAGCAATCTAAGCTCACCTCTGCAAATCGTTCACACTGTAGACCCCGCAGAAGTCGCACTCAATCCAATCCCTTGGATTCCGTCCATTGAGAAAGAAGTAAAGGCCATTGAGCATGCGGTGCTCAGACTGCGCCCTTCAGACCCCAGGCAGGCCGAGTACTTGAGTGATCCTCGACTGCAGGTGGTACCTTCCAAGTTTGTGTTCACAGTGAAACCGCCCGACCAAGGGGCAGCAGCTGTTGGTGACACTGGAAAGCTTGCGCTCACTCAGCCCGACAACAGTACAGAGGCCCTTCAGGGCGCTCCAAAGGCTTCGTCGCAAGGCCAAAGTTTGTACCGTCGGAAAGCGAGACTTGCTGCTTGCGGAAATGTGGCGCCAAATACAGGCTTGGATGTGTATGCTGGAGGTGCTCAGGCTGAGAGCTTGAGAACAGTGATTGCCCTGGCAAGCTTCTTTGGCTGGTTGTTGGGAGTGTTGGATATCACCAGCGCGTTCCTCAAAACGCCTATTCCTTGTCTTGAAGGTTTCCCCATCTTTGCGTTGACCCCGCCCCGCTTGTTGGTCAAGCTTGGTCTTGCAGTTGCACATGAGCTGTGGATACTATCCCACGCGGTTTACGGCCTTCGAGAGGCCCCGCGCTTGTGGGGACAGTATCGAGATGCTTGTTTGGCAGCGTTGGTGTGGGACCTTGACGGCGTGACCTACCGGCTTGAGCCTTCGACCCTAGACCCGAACTGGTGGAAAGTCGTCAGGGTTGAAGGTGGTCGCGTTGAGGGCGCATTGTTGGTGTACGTTGATGACTTCTTGTTGTGTGGGTCGCTAGGTGTCCTTCAAAGTTTGGCAAAGGCTCTGCAAGAAAAGTGGGCCACAACACCGTTTGTGGTAGCTACCCCAGAGCAGCCGATCAAGTTCCTTGGCGTGGACATCATTGTCATTCCTCGTGGGTTTGTTCTCTCACAGCAGTCGTACGCAGAAGAAGTCTTGCGGCTTCATGAGGTACCTTGCCACGTGAGGGGTAGAATCCCTTGTCCTCGGGAGCTAGCGTCGTTTGAAGTTGGCGAAGGAGACTCCAGCCCCCCTGACGGGGAGGCCGTTCACCGCGCGCAACAGGTGACTGGTGAACTGCTGTGGTTGTCTCAACGTACTCGCCCGGACCTGGCGTTCACTGCCAGCTTGCTTGCTAGTTTGTCTACGAAGGCGCCTTGTCGTGCTCTACGCATTGCTGACCGTGCCTTGGCTTACTTGCAGCGAACCAAGACAGCGTCGCTGGTGTTTGAGGCGGACGGAACCCAACTTCACGGTTGGAGTGACGCAAGCTTCTCGCCAGAAGGCCTTCGCTCACATGGAGGCTGGTGCGTGTGTGTGCATGGATGTCCAGTTGCTTGGAGGTCGGCGCGTCAAGCTTTTGTGACACTTTCTACTGCTGAAAGTGAACTCACTGCTTCGATTGAGTGTGCAATCGCGCTTGAATCAATTGAGGCGTTGCTTCACACGGTTGGTTTTGACGTTGCGGAAATTTGCACGTTGATTCCCAAGCGTCACTTGCGATTTCTGACGGTCATGGATCATGGAGAACGCGACACCTACGGGTAAGAGCTGAGTACCTTCGTGAGCAGACTCGCTCTGGGAAGCTGAGGCTTGCCTTCTGCCCGGGTGTGGAACAGCTTGCAGATCTACTGACCAAACCTCTTCCGTCTGCAAGGATTGAAGAGCTTGTCAGGTTATGGGGCATGCGTGACTTTGCGGGTGATACAGCCGACCGAGAGGTCAGGCCGAGCTCGTCAGCAGCTGTCGACCCAGTCGCGTTGAGTGCCTTGTTGTGTTTGCTTCAGATCCAACCTGTGCGAAGCTCGAGCCGTGAATCCGAGTATCCCGGCTTGCAGCTTGATGGATCCCTGGAGCTTTACTTCGTTCTTGGCATGGCATTGGTTTGTGTCCTTGTTGTGTGGGAGTGGTTGAAGAGATTGTGGGATCGGCTTGATGCGTGGTGGGCTGGTTCGCATGCGTCGTCTCGTCGAGCCCGTCGTTTGAGGCGTATGCAGAGAGCTGTTGAGGATGAGCTTGCTGCCCAACTGCAGGGCATGAGTCTTGAGGACGTGTCTTCCAGACCACCAGCAGGTGAGTCCACAGCTCACAACGAGAGGGCACCTGTGCCTTCGCAGTCCTCCCACGAGTTGCCTGCTGCACCACGGCCCAAGGCCACACAGTCTCGTCGCCGCCCTGCAGTGCGTGAGCAGTCTACTCAAACGGATCGTGAGCCTGCTTTCCAACCAGTCACAGGAGTCCCACCAGATCCGATGCCTGCCAGGATCGAAATCCGCACGCAGTATGAACTTCCCCAAGGTCCCTTTTACTTCACTGCGCACGGGGATTGTGTTCATCTAGATTCTAATTGTTGGGGTTTAAGGCGTAATACACCCTTAACTACCCGCAACTTGTGCCGTGTTTGCAGAGACCGCCACCGCACAGGTCTCTAAAGGCAAGCCAAGGTTCAAGGCTAGAGGTCCCAGGAACGGGCATGCTGTAAATAGTGCAGCGTGTGCTAGTTGCCTGTCGGCTCTAGCAAGGAGGAGTGTTGAAATGCTTCTCACTGCATGCCCAGGTATCAGGTTAGACAGGTGTGTAGTCTGCTTGAAGGGATTGCCGGCACTTGTATAGTTTCCTTCAGGTAGGCTTGTACATGTGTGTTTCCTGTATCCTTTGGCTTAGGGGAAGGCTGCGTAGGAAAGCCTCTTGAGCCATGTGTACTGTAACCAACAACTTGTAAAGCTGTACAGGTCGTTTGTTGGTTTGTCGGTTCTCTTGTTGCTTCGTTGAGAGCGTGAGTCGCCTCTGCGCCCAGCCATAGAAAACATTCTGCGTGAGCTTCGCTGCAGGGTATGGCCACCCAGGGTGAACACCTTCAACAGTTAGGGTTAAGGGCTCACTGGCCCAAAACCCAAGCAAATATAAGTTGAAACTTTCAGAATCTACTACCTTGTAAGAACCCCAAAAGTTGAAAAGTTGAGTTTACAGCCAATAAAGTTGAAAAGTTGAGTTTACAGCCAATAAAAAAGGGTCCTGGGGCATTGTTGAACGGTTGCAATGAGCTTGACGGCTTGGAGACAAAGGGCTACTTGGAAGGGCAGGGGGCTTAGTAAGTCGTTCATAAGTAGGGTTATAATTGGGGTAACTCCATTTCGGGTACTTATAACTCTTCTTATAACCTACTTACTAAGTGCCCTGCCCTTCCAAGTACTGCTAAGCAGAGTTCTTAGCATGGCTCCACTTAAACGAGGTAGCACGTACGCCCTAGGCCTACCCAAAGACTCCAATATCCCTTAATTAAGGAATATCCCTAAAATCATAGTAGGATCCCCAATCTGATTTAAGGTATACTCCTTAATTAAGGGATATTAGAGTCTCTGGCCCAAAGGCTCCATGTAGCTTTATAGTAGATACTTAAGCCTTAACGGGGTCCCTATATAGGTACTTGAAGGCCAAAGTATATACTATATGGGTACATGGAGGGGCCGAAGCCTTCGAAATTCTTCAGATGGGAGGGTTACTATAGGGGTGGTTATTATAAGGGTTCCTTTAAAGGGTTACTATAAGGGTTCCTTTAAAGGGTTCCTATAAGGATTTCGAGTTTCTACAAATTCGGGGTACCTTATTTGGGGGCCCTTATAATAAGGATCCTACTATTTAGGGTACTATATTAGGGTCCTCTATTTTCGGAAACTCCCATATAGTACACCATAGTTCGTGTTATAGTGTAAGAAGTTGAAGTATACCACATTCTTAGCAGCTGCAAGTTCGGAATGTTAACTGCGGCCAGAACTAGAACAGCTGGACCTTCGGAAACTACAAATGATGATACCCATGCTATGAAATTGATCCTGGGGCGCCTGCCTGAACGGATAGTCTGAAACCCTACTTGGAGGATCATGGGACTTAGTAAGTAAGGTTATAAGTACCTTAATTGGGGGTATAAGTAGTTATAAGTGGAGTTACCCTAATTATAACCCTAGTTACTAAGTCCCGTGATCCTTTAAGTAGAGTAAGCCGCGCTGCCAGTGATAAGGATGCATCTCCGTTCGGAGCATCATGCGGAAGATGAGGTAACGGTCGTTGCCTTGGACAACAAGATGGACTAGGATACCCAGTAACCTAAGAATAAAAAGGCCTCTCTTTTTGGTATTGGGTAACTTTATAAGGAACCGAGGACTACAAAAAGGGAATAAGGGTACTACTGGGCATCCTAGTAGAAGATCTCAGGGAATTCGCAGAAAAGCATGCAGCCGGTCTGCACAGCCTGAAAGGGTATGAGCATTGACACACACTCACACACACACACGCACAAGCACAAAGCACACCGAACAATTGTGTGCACACATGTGCACTCCCGACTGCGAGTGTTGAAACAAAGTCTGGACAGCAGCCACCAAAATGCGATACAAGGTCACGGCATAAGGGTGCATCTGGGAGCGATGCAGTACATCCCAAACACGTGACCTACAATCTACAAGATATAATCTCAAGGCACTCCGTACCCAAACGCTGCCATTGCTGCCAGCTTGTTGGATTCAGGCTGGAAAATACCAGGCTTTGGCAAGACCCAATGACACCAATGACAGTTCGAACATCAAGTAGTTCATAGTCGCACGCCATTCCCCAAACTCTAAATCGTCCTGGAGCGATCCCTAAAAGGCTCTCGCTCCCATTACCAAGAGTGCGGACAGCGCTGCGCTTCGGATACTTGTAGACGGCGGTGTTGTAAGGGCCGTTGGGTCCGTAATTCAATCCCATCGCCTCCGCGCGCAAATGCTTTAGGACATAAGCTTCTTATCGGCATATTATAACTCTGCAGGGCGAGTGCGAGGACATAGCAAGCTATGCCTTGTGGTTTGTCCAGGAACTTAACCTCTTGACCTGCAAGATTTGACCCCAAAGCCCACACTCGAAACCCAAACTTCGGTTCGCTAGTACGCCAGCCCAGAGTTCCCTTAGCAGTATTCAATCCCTGGATGGAAGGTAGCACTCAGTACTCCGATCTAGGTAAACGACCCTAATCTGAGGGCCCAATGGAGGAGTTTCCGAAAATTCGGGGTACCTTATTTTGGGGTCCTTATAAAAGCGATCCTACTATTTAGGGTACTATATTGGGGTCCCCTATTTTGGGCAACTCCCATGTAGGAGTACTCCGAATAGAGTTTGCGGTGTATTCTACTACAGCAACAATAATAGTAGAGACACCGAGTTGATACGGTTGACGATATAAATCCTGCATTACCTTAAGGACCCTAACCTATGGGAATTATGGTATAGCAGTGTAGTCATTTACGGTTTAGGGTTTAGCTATCATCAACCGTACATCTGCACAAAAAAGAGTCCGACCCATTTCGTAGGTACTTGGAGGGGCAGGGGACTTAGTAAGTCGTTCATAAGTAGGGTTATAAGTTATAATAACTCCATTTAGGGAACTTATAACTATTCTTATAACCTACTTACTAAGTCCCCTGCCCTTCCAAGTAGGCGGTCGGCGAGGTCGAGGTCTGAAGGTTTTGGTCGAACGTGTAAGTTGAAGGCCTTAGGAGTTAGAATACCGGTCCTTTAAAGGGTTCCTTTAAGGGATACCCGAAGGGTACTATAAGGGCCTTAATAATTGAGTAGAATAGGGTTTTGGCGCCCATTGTACCATGATGAGAATAACGAACCCCTAAACTAGTTTAGGTATTTATTTAAGGCCCCCTATGATATGGTACCGAGGTTTCTGGCTCGTGCTTAAGTCGCGGCTTGGAGTAGGACTGCTCATCAAGATGCAGTCGGCTGAGACATCTTCGGACGGCACAGTTCTCCTGTCTCTGCTTCTGGCGATTCACATCCTCAGCAGTATGGGTATCCTTCTGAAGATCTGCCCTGAAGTGACAGAAGCTCTGTCAAATTCGTTGCTAGTGTCGGTTCTTATTACAGGAAGGCTTAGAAATACCTGGCGATTTCAATTCGGCACCTCAACTTTCGTCACGACAGCGGGAAATGTGCGATTTGATTTGCTGGGCCCTCAGCCCTGAAGCCCCAAATCTGCAGATCTCTACCTACTTAGAGGGTCATGGGACTTAGTAAGTAAGGCTATAAGTACCTTGATTGAGGTTATAAGTAGTTATAAGTAGAGTTACCCTAAGTATAACCGTAGTTACTAAGTCCCATGGTCCTTTAAGTAGAGGGTCATATCCTACCCCTTTTGGGGGGTACCTAATTGAATGGTTAGCCTTGCCTTCCCAATATTCCGAGTCTGCCCCAAACCCCAAACCCTAAACCCTAAATTCCCAGACCCTAAAAACCAAACCCCCAAACCCTAAGCCCCAAACCCCAAACCCTAAATTTCAAAACCCTAAAAACCAAACCCCCAAACCCTAAGCCCTAAACCCGAAATCCCAAACCCTAAACCCTGAACCCTAAATCCCCAAACCCTAAACCCTAACTCCCAAACCTCAAGCCCTAAACCCTAACTCTCAAACCCTAAACCCCAAACCCTGAACCCTAAACCCAACACACACCCGGCCTTCAGGTCCTTTGCGGTCGTGGCCGTGACGAAGATCGCCTAAGATACCCAGTAACCTAAGAAAAAAAAGGCCTCTCTTTTTTGGTATTGGGTAACTCTATAAGGAACCTAAGACTACAAAAAGGGAATAAGGGTACTACTGGGCATCCTAGTCGCAGGCATGGAGGTGAAGAGCTTCTTGGGCTCAGACTCTTCGATCCTGCTGTCCTGCGCGTCTCAACCGCTCAGGAATCAGCCAATAGAGGGGCCTTGATGTTTAGAACGGGGTTCCTTTAAAGGCGTAAGGGATCTGAAAGAGTGCTATGATATAGAGGCCGTAATTTATGGTTAGAATAGGGCTTTAGGGCCCAATCATGTTGCAATCATAATAAGGAGCCGCCCGAATATTTATAGCAGCTAACTATAAAGGTCCCGACATGAAGTTCTGGGAAAAACAACTGCGTCTTAGATGATGACCGCTTAAAACTCAAATAAGTCTGGGAAGGAAACAAAGTTTCTGACCAGTTTAGGAGTTGTATAAGGGGTCGGAGTGTAGGGACTCAGACCTACGGCGTGGGAACTAGTGTGCTGTGTCTTTTTTGGGGTTTCTGTTTTTAGGCTTCGTGGTTTGGACATATCAAACCCTTCTAGTACCCTGATGGTATCCCTGAAAGGAACCCTTAAAAGGAGCCCTACCCTAATTGCTAAGGCCCTTAAAATTGTAGGTAGGACGGTAGGACGGTTCGGAGTTTAAGACACCAAGGCCATGGGGTCGTGAAAAGAAATCGGTGTGTGGGTTTGTGTCCGGCAATCAGGGCATGGGTTTATTTCTAGACCCAAGAATAACCTAGGAATAAAAAGGGTGCCCTTTTTGGTTTAAAGGGGCTTAATAAGGGAACCAGAACCCTAAAAAAGGGAATAAGGGCTTACTCTGGGTCCTAGATTTAGGGTATACCGGCCCAGGAAAGTGCTCAGGGGCTACAACGCGGGGGAGCTTATGGGGTTTAGGGCTTTGAGTCGAGGGTTAAGGTGTGGGGCTGACGGGGTTTCGGGTATGTCGGGGTGCTTTCTTGCCTTGCCAGCTATATGAGATTTGCTTGGGGCGCTGCTGTCAGATCATGCAAAGAGGGCTGGCTTCTTCACCCTTATCCCTGAACCCTGCAGACTGCGGGCAAGAGTTTGTTGTGGCTCAGAAGCGTGGGTGGAGAGGATTGCAGAGGGGCCTGGTGTCAAGATTCCATCGGCCTCTGAGCAAGCCATGGAAGTGATTCTGTCACAGGGACCCTTAGGGGGTAGGGTCCCTGAGTGCACATAATAAGGACCTACTAAGGCCGATTTAAGGAAGTACAGTCCCCTACCCCCCTCCCCCTTACCTATTAGGGTCCCTATGATTCTGCCCAAACTCTGGCCTTCGAGGCATGAAACCCTTTACATGTCCTTACAGGAGCAGGCTGAAAGGCTCCACTCAGAAGTCTCATGCATTTGGCCTTACACGGAACTCCAGAAAGTTGGAGTATGGATTAATGGTAGGATCCCCTATAATTTACCATAAAGGGTTTAGGATAATCATATTCCAACTTTCTGGCTTTTACTTTACCAAAACCCGGCATGCACTTACTGTCGCAAGGGCCAGGGCGAACAGACGGTCTCCAAAAACTAGAAACACATACGCCTGAACCAGTACATACGACTGTGGGAGCTTCAAAAGAATCCTTCATTCGCAAATCCTCCGATACACAAAGCTTATTGACATGTCTGCGGTATATTTTAGTACCTGATTACCTTTTGCTAACCCCATTTAAGAATCTCCTCCTTCGGTACGGAGGATCATCCCACGGGTCCAAATATGATAGAATACGCATACGCCTTCAACCTGCTGCCCGCATGAACAACCCACCCAATCCCCGAACCCCACACCCGATCTGTGGAGACCCGAAACCTTAATCAACAAACCCTGAAAAACCTCAGCCCCAACCGACCCCTTACGCCCAAACCTTCCAAACGGTGGGCAAGCCCTATATTATAGGGCTACCGTTACTAACAATCCCGGCTTCAGTAGCCTTATACTCCCCATATTGCTACACTGTAATATACCCCAAACCCTATTCCAAACTAACATTCCGACGCCTACATTCACCCTTATAGCTCATAAACTCTCGTCTACTCATCAAGGCACCCTTCAGCCTTCTTGGAGCCTGGAACCCGAATCGCTCTGCTTATGAAGGTCCCTATATGCCAAACCCGAAACCCCATGCCCTATTTATCGTGAACCACCCTAAACCCTAAACCGTATTTTAGGTTCAGCAGGGCGGTTGTCCTGTCGGCTCCAGCGCCCTCCCTCAATGAAGAGACCCCAGATGTTCCTAATTGAGCTTCGAGGCGTAAGGGTTTAGTGGCTTGTAGGGCTTAGGGCATATAGGGCTGCGGGCTTAGAGTGTAAAGCGCTTGGCTTATAGGGTTTAGGTGTTTTTCGTGGTTTCAGGGTTCAAGTCTCGAAGATTTTTGGGGATAAGTGCTCCTCATTGAGGTCGCATTTTTGGAGCCTATGGAGGTTTTGGTGGCTCTGGGAGCTGTTGGCTTCCAAGTTGAGATCTTGGATGGATCTGGGGTTTCCGGTGAGTCGAAGCCCGGATCCTGGAAACCGAAAGTTCAGGTTTTAACCCCAGCCCTCGGGCTTAAGGGGTTTAGGGTATAAAGGGAACTCCAGAAAGTTGGAATATGGTTTCAGGGTAGGATACCCTATAATTTACCATAAAGGGTTTAGGATAATCATATTCCAGCTTTCTGGCTTTTACTGTAAGGTTCAGGGTTGCTAAAAGGAGGATCCCCTTTCAAGCTTCGGGCCGTTCGACGAGTACCCTCCGTTCAGGGTTTAGGGTTAGCCCAGTTAGCCCTACAACCAAGACCGTCACCCTAAACTACCTTAGACCTCAACCCCAAATGCCGAACCCTGCACCAGAATCGACCAAGCGTCCAAAAGTCTCAACTCTGGGCTCACCGGTGGCTTCAGGGACTGTCCCTCTGACTAGAAAACACACACATACACATACAGGCACACCTACCTACCTCGAAAGCTTGAGGGTTAAAAGCCCGAAATCCTACAGCCCCACAACTCGTAATACTGTTGATAATATAAATCCTGCATTACCCATAATAAGGAATATACCATAATTCCCATAGTTTAGGGTCCTTAAGGTCATGCAGGATTTATATCATCAACCGTACCCTCACGAGGCGGTCTCTAAATCAAAACTCTGGAGCCCTCGAACCCTGAAGCCGTAATCCATCATCAACCGACAGAATCCTGTGCACCTGATCCCTGAATCAACCGCCAAAGCCATATAAGGTTTAGGGTTTAGGGTTTAGGGTTTAGGGTTATATAGAACAAAGTAACCCTTGTTAATGTCCCTTAAGATTCATCTGTCTGCAACTGGAACCCTTAAACCCGCGGTCTCGGCCCTTAGACACCTCCGACTTCCTCCCTGAAGCCTTGTGCGCCTTCTCTTCACCTCCTGCCCCAGCTTTCCGGTTACCGTAAAACCTGAATCCCCTAAACCCTAATTAACCTTGAACCCTAAACCCCTAAACTCTTAACCCCTAAACCCTAAACCCCCTAACTCCCAAACCCCAACAAGTCCAACCGTATCCTCCTGCCGCCGTGCGGCTGTCCCTCTTCAGGAACTTCTCGGATCCTCTCCATGTCGTAGGGAAGCCTCGGGTACGAAGCGGTCGGAGCCGGTTTAAGGTTTTGGGCTTTGGGTTTAATCCTTAAAGGGTTTCACAAAACTTTCATACTTGATTCTGAGGTTTTGTATAATAGGGGTTCGGCTGTAGGAAGGGCTTGGGATAATGCACACTAAAGGCATCTAATCGTCTAATCCTTTGCATTCTGCTGTAAAGAGACAAGCAACAATGCAACAACTGCATTTGTTCATGTCACCACTCAGTGCAGCGCCGATCTCGCCATCACAAGGGTCTACAGTTAGGACCACTGTCCTGTAAAAGCCCGTATGTATTTATATTCTAATATGTTTCAAGGCGATACTCTAATTCGTCAAGCCCCCTTAAGTTCAGTGCAAAGGAAAGCACCTCCGGTGACTATAGAGAAAGGTCCAACGCTTGCAGGGTTTAGGGCTCATAGGGCTTATGGGGTTAATCAGATGCCGTACAGTGAAGTTCGTAGTATAACTCTTATAGACAGAGTGCTCAAGTCAATGGAATGACTGTATCCGTAGCCGCTTTACTGAAGACGCCTCAAGGGATCTACGGAATCAAAACGACACCATTACTTCATTGTACAGTCAAGGACAGCGCAAAAAGCTTTGGGCAAGAACAGACTTTATGGAACCCTTCGAAACATTTTTATGGTTCCCTTCGAACACAAGGCAACAGGACAAGCAACGCCGAGAACATGAGTTCGAGTTTAGCATGCTCATGGTCAGCCCAGGTACACCTCTGTGTGCGAGATGACATCATCCAGGGCCCACTGATCTTTCTTGTGCTGCCGCGTCACCTGGCTAGTGCCATTCTCTACAGGCCCATGTGGGAGTTTCCGAAACAGGGGAGCTCACTATAGCACCCTGCCCTAAATAGCAAGATCCTTATCATAAGGCCCCCCCAAAATAAGCTACCCCTGATTTTCGGAAACTGCCATACATCGAGTGCGCACTTTAACCCCAGAGTTCTCTATCCGAGATGCACACGGTTGCTGAGGCCTGAAGCTGCTCCACAGGCACCAACTTAAGCTCAAAGTAGAGACGACCGATAGTCTCCGTCGTAGTTCCCTTTTTTGGTTTAACCAGTTTTGTATGTAGGATCCTATAAAGGTAGCCCCCCCAAAAAAAGGAACCCGAATGGAGACTAGAAGTAGTACTCAACTCTAAGGCGAATCTAGGAAGCCCAAACGGGCGAAATAACGTCGGGGTCGGAAAGAATAGGAATACTGCATGCTCAATGATGGGAGGCCAAAAACGGGGGTTTAAGATTCTTGGGGCAGGAATTCCTTAATATGAACCCTATTATGGGAACCCTACCCCCCAATAGGCTAAACCCCCCTTCGGCCTCCTATGACTCAATGCTATCTCCTTGTGGTCCCTATAAAGCTGCTATTCCGCTGGACCCCAAAGCCCTATTCTGAGCATTGGGACCCTTATGATGTGGGCATCGACCCGTGGGAACTGCCGGCGACCTGAACCCAAGCCCTTGAAGACACTAAGCCACCAGCAATCGTCGGTCGGACAAGTTGAGGGCACAGGTCTTTAAGGTCTAGGTTTTCGAGTCTTGGGGTTCGGGGAGTTCAGACTTGTGTTCTTCGAGTTTCGGTCCGGGTTGTCACACTGCGTGACGACCCTTTCGGAGTTCTACGCTGCTCATCTCCCTGGCCAAGCCCAGAGAGCCCAATACCCCTTAATTAAGGAATAACTATATCTTAAATCATGCGTAAATCATCATATGAAGCCCTATGTAATTTGAGCCATATTCCTTAATTAAGGGGTACTGGCAGTGTTGCATTGGGAGCTTGCTGGAGTCTCGTGCGAACTAGTAATCTTTCCGGATACCCGTGCAGAGATATCTGTAGGATTATCGCTGAGACGCCCAAAATCCCTCTGCCTACGGAAAATCAGTGCGAGCTCGAAGTTGCTGCTTCTTGCATCCTCATCATAAGATCCAACATACATACCCACCGACAGATTTGCGAGTTTTCGAAAATAGGCGACCCTAATGTAGTACCCCAAGTAGTAGGATCCTTATTATCAAGACCCCAAAATAAGGTACCCCTAATTTTCGGAAACTCCCATTTGCGTCATGAAGCCTGAGCCTCACGGCCAAAACCTATCATTCGGGGTACTCAAACGCTCGAAGATCCGAGGGTAGTAGAAGCCCTACGGTTGATGATATAAATCCTGCATTACCTTAAGGACCCTAAACTATGGGAATTATGGTATATTCCCTACTATGGGTAAAGCAGGATTTATGTCATCAGCCGTAGTGCTTTACAGAATGAAGGATCTTGGGAGCTTCGCCAGCAGAATCGCCTCCTGTCGCATGCCCGTCAAGAAGCCCTGCGCATTGGTGAACCCGGTGAGCCAATACGCCTCGATGCTGTGGGCGGGCTTAAGCTTGACCTATAGTCTCCATTGTAGTTCCTGTTTGGGGGTTACCTTTATAGGATCCTACATATGAAGCTAAACCAAAAAAGAACTACAACGGAGACTATAGTGTAAGCTTTAGGGCTGGGTTTCGGATGCAGCGACGGGTTTAGGGGTGGACTTAACAATGACCGACCTTGTGCATTTCATCGTTCCCTAAGTGCCATCAACCCCCAGAGTCGGCTGGCCATTTGGATCTTTACATTGCAGGGTTTACTGGACTTTGAAGTAACCAAGGGAGAAGAAGTATAGACTTTTATTTCATAATTGGTTCCCTTTGAGTACCAGGTCCCAAAAAAGTATTAACGTATGGTACTCCAAAGCCCAGCTTAGGGTGCAGGAGCAGGCTTCAGAATCAGGTGGATGGTGAGTTGTCACTGTTCAGAAACGACAGGACACTCTTGCTTCTTTACCCTAAGGCTCCATGTACCTAAATAGTATATACACTGGCCTTAAAGTACTCCCAATATGGGTACAGTGGGCCCAAAGTATATACTATTTGGGCACATGGACCCTTAGGGTGAACTATGATGAAGAGGCCAGCTTTGCTCTGGCGTAGATGGAAATGATGGCAGTAAGGGACCCTGATAAAACTGATATGAACCCTACATGCAAGCCTACAAACTATAAACCCCATAAACCCTAAACCCTAAACCCTAAAACCCTAAACCCCTAAACCCTAAACCCTAAACCCTAAACCCCTAAAACCCTAAAACCCTAAACCCCTAAACCCCTAAACCCTAAACCCTAAACCCTAAACCCTAAACCCCTAAACCCTAAAACCCTAAACCCTAAAACCCTAAACCCTAAACCCCTAAAACCAGTTTCAAGCGCTCCTGAGGTTATGTGTTTGATCATGTTTCAGGCTTTAGGGGCCTGACATCCGAAACCATCCTACCCAAAGACCCCAGTGCAGGGGTTTGGGGTTTAGGGGATCCTACAAGGGATCCATACGGGTACTATAAGGGTTTAGGGTTTAGGGGTGTAACCATAGGCTCCATAGTAGTTCCTGTTTGGGGTTACCCTATAGGATTCGATATATGGACCCCCCAAAAGGGACTACATTGGGGCCTTTGGGTAGTGTCACTGCTCCGAAGAATGAGAACGGTAACGGTGATGCCCCTGGTAATTACTAGTAGCAACTTTTCCCAGGAGGAAAACTGCATATTTGGCGAAATCCTGGGAGTTGTAGCAATGACACTCGTAACATAATCTGCTTGAACCCCTAAACCCTGAACCAACCTTAAAGGCTTGGAGAACGGACTCCAAAATCGAAAGAGCGTTCGTGAATCTAAACTACTAGTAGTAGTAGTAGTAGTAGTAGTAGTAGTAGTAGTAGTAGTAGTAGTAGTAGTAGTAGTAGGAGTAGGAGTAGGAGTAGGAGTAGGAGTAGGAGCAGGAGCAGGAGCAGGAGTAGGAGTAGTAGTAAGTAGTAGGAGTAGGAGTAGTAAAACCACGTCATGCAGGCATTTAAGCTGCAGGGCAAAGCTAGCTTGCAGGCTTGCAGAAGGGATTTTCCAAGGAAGGGATTTCGCGCAACCACTTGCGGCACAGGCAATGAGGGTTCGCCGCTTCAGGAAGTCAGCTCGTACTGCTCATCGCTTCAGTTGCCTTAGGTCAAAACTGGCCGCCAGTAACCGGCCTTCATGACCGCCCGGCCGTTCTCCAGCCAGTTGTTCAACATCCTGAGCTGTGAGCTGTCAATCAATTTTGGAGCGTCAGATTTGGGTTCGGTTGTGAGAAGCTTCGGGAGCTTAAAACCAGAAACTATGAGCCGTTGTATGTGTCTTTCTGTCTGTCTATCTATTTATCTCTCGGTCCGCCCGTCCGTCACGTCTGTCTGTTCGTCTGTCGGTCCGTCCGTCTGTTTGTCTGTGTTTTATTCCAAGACGTTCTGTGAGTCTGTATGAATTATGTATGTACTGTCTTTATGTATGCATGCATGTGTGCAGGCATGCAGCATACAATATACAGTTGCAATGAGTATACAAGCTATGCACTATGCATCTCGTAAGAAACAGTTCATTCACAGATGCGCATCCGCACATGCTCGAAAATGCACGGGAGACGAAAGGGCCATGAAACCACTGACAAGGCGGAACTTACTACTTTCTTCTCTTGTGTTCATAGCTCCGTAGACCACCCTTTCGCTACCGTGCTTTGCAACTCCTCGCCAAGTCGCGCTTGACGCTCCGTAAGGCCAGTGAACCATCCTCCCAGAGGGCATCCGTATGGTCTTGAGGTCTATCTTACTACCCAGGGGCCCCAAAGTAGTTCCTTTTTGGAGTTACCTTATAGGATTCTATATATGAACCCCAAAAGGAACTACTTTGGGGCCTTTGGGTAACTTATACGAACAGCAGCTCCTTGTATGCTCTATCTTGGGCTTACTGAGATTTGGGGTTGTCACAACTAGTCTGTTTGCCAACTTGGACCGTTAGACTTAAGCTACCGGACTCCGAAAGCTTCAGCTTCAAAGTCCAAACAGCGGTGGCCGCGAAACAAAGCTTTAAACCAGTAATCTGCAACCCTCAACCCAGAAAACAACCAGTGAGCTTCTCAATCCCAAGTTCATCGACCCCATATCCTCAACCCTTTAGTCATGCACACAACCCTAGACCCGAGACCCTAAACCCTCACTCCTAAACCCTATAAACCCTGTAAACCCCAAACCCCCAAACCACACATCCGAAAAACAAGGCGGTGCCTCCAAGATTGGGCATTAGCCAAGAGATCTCCGCGCCCGAGGGGTCATTCGTCCAACCTCTGACTTTGGAGCTCAGGGTTTGAGGTTTAGGGGTTTTAGGGTTGAGGGTGTAGGGTTCGGGTTTATGCAGTTTAGGGGTGGGGCGCGGGGGGTTGAGTGGTTATAGGCTTATAGGGTTTGGAGTTTAAGGGCTTGGCGAATCGAATTAGGCTGCAGGCGTTTCGGGCTCAGAGGTGTAGAGTTTACAGTTTAAGCTTTAATTGGGTGTTGGGGTCCTAGGGCTCGGAGTGCCCATTCTAAGCCCCTTAAACCCTAAGCCCGAAGTCAAGGCCCTAAACCCACAACCCCAAACCCTACGCCCTTAGCCTCAATAGCCTCCAAAAAGGCACCTCCGGATACCCTCTGTAAAAAATCCGCACGACGGTCCAAGGTACAGTGCAAAATGCTGCACAACCCTCAACCCCTAAACCCTAAACCAGAAAAGCCTGAAACCCCTAACTACTGTAGGGGCCTTAATAAATAGAAAAGGGTTTTTGGGGGATCTTATACTATATCTATACTGAGAAACCACCCTTAATAGTATAGGTACTTGTTAAGGCCCCTATATTACACTCCTGAAGTCTTGAAGCTCAAACCCTATCCGGACCTCTTGGCACTCGGGCATCGAAGAGGTAGCCGAGATCTTCCTGGGCTTATGGAAATAACAAACATAAGAGTAAGCTAAAACTGCAGCAATCATCGTGATGATCGTAGTGGACGTCATCGTATACCCAGTCATAACAACAACAAGAACTGACAATGATGGTAAGAGCAGTGGTAATGGTAAAGATACTACTAGGGCTGAGGCCATCTGACTTTGCGAGGCAAGGGTCTGTGGCCCGGGTGCTTTCAAGCCTTTGGCTTCAGTGTTCGTGGGTCTATACACCCTAGACCCTACACCCCACACCCTAAACCGTATGGCGATGCAAAACCGGTGCATGTCGCCGGCTCCTTGCATTTTTCAGCCCTCTGTACTCTGTCCCACGGCAAGTTTCCTGGCAGCGCCCATCCTGTGAACATTTCTGCTGCCTTTCGGTTGAAGGAAAACTCACAAGCTCCCAATACGCAAGGAGCCTAATAACCAAGATCGAGACTCTACACCACTAACCATAAAAGGCATGGGGGCTCTTATTGCAAATCTACGATGTGAGTGTATTCTACTGTAATGAGCCCCCAAACCATAAGACCTCATTCTCACAATGAAGGCCCCTACAACCCTGGATCAGATGCCTCATTTTCGTGTTACTGAGTCACTCTCACTATTAATGCCCCTGAAACCCTAGATTAGATCCCTCTTCATTCTTATGATTAGGGCCCCTACAACCCTAGGTTACCTGGAGGATCATGGGACTTAGTAAGCAAGGTCATAACTACCTTCATTGGGGTTATAGGTGGTTATAAGTAGAGTTACTCTAATTTAACCCTAGTTACTAAGTCCCATGATCCTTTAAGCAGACCCTAAACCCGAAACCCCATACATCCCTTTCAGGAGCCCTATAGATCCCTTTAAAGCGCCCTTTAAGAATCCTTATCCTTTAAGTAGATCCCTGAATTTCGCGTGTCTGAGGAGCCATGAGCTCAGTAGTCATCACCACAGTGCCGTCGATAGCAGCTGCCACGCTCCTCGGCAGATCAGGTTTTAGGGCTAAGGGCTTAGGGTGTAAGGTAGTTTAGGGCTTGAGGGTCAGACTAACTGTTGAGGGTTTAGGGCTGAGGGAGATCACGGTTTAGGGTGGAAGGTTTTTTTGTTGAGCACCTTGTTCCGCCCGCCTTTACTATCCAAAGAACACGGAAGGCCATACATGGCCAGGCGGACGTTTAGGGTTTAGTGACTAATTGTTGAGGGCTTGGAAGTGTCGGATTAAGGATGTAGGGGCTTGTTCCTAGGTCTCCCCTGCTCTGGTTCGTAGCAGGTGCGGAGGTCCAGGAAACAAAGGGCCCGGTCACGAAAAAAACATTTCTAAGGCCCCCAAATATTCAAAAGCGTCTCCCAAACACTAAACCCAAAATGAATCCTCTACACAAGCACACATATACATACGTACATACATACATACGTATATACATAAATACATACATACATAATTATACACATACATACATGCGTGCAAACATAACATACATACCATACAAAACATGCACAACATACATAACATACATATCATACGTGACATCCTAAAAAACATGACATGCATACATACATACATGCATGCCCGCATGCATGCATGCATGCATACATACATGAAAATACGTACATACATACATACGTACATACGCACACACACACATACACAGACACACATACAATATGTACGAGTGCACATACTATGTGTTGTGTGTGTGTGTGTATATGTGTGCGTGTGTGCGTGTGTGCATATGCGTATGCATATGCATGCACATACGCGCATGCAGACAGGCAGATATGCTCAAAGACATCTACATTACATATGCACATATACATGATACACACTATCCATCTATATCTATATATATATATATATATGTGTATATGTATATACATATATAAATATACATATACATATATATATATATATATATACATACACATATATACAGGTCGATTTCACCGAGCCCCTAAGAGCTTTCAGGAGACTTGAGGTTTGTCCGCACGATGGCGATGATGTTCTGCAGTCGTTGCAGCTCCTGAGCGCAAGATCCCATGCTGTCGTCGGTTTAGGGTTTAGGGTTTTGGGTTTAGGGTTCAGGAGCCGGGGTTTTTGGTTTAGAGGGTTTAGAGGGTTCAGGGTGCGGGGTTTAGGGTTACAGGTCTACGGTTGGTTGCGGATTCGGGGACTGGCCGAATGATGATGCTGACGATGGTGGTGAGTCGAGTGAGAATAAGGAAGAGTGCCGCAGCCAGCTATATTACTCTGTTACGCTGAGTGCTGCCACCCTAAGCAACCTAGACCACGCGCCCGTCCTAAATTAATACATGGTCCCCAAACCCACTGGCGACGATTGGGGGTGCCGGCTTGATGGGATCAGCACCCGGAGGGCGCGAGTACCAACGGGTTTGGGCCCGGGATTGCGGGTTTGGGCTATCTTAAGATTGCTGTCTTCGACTTAATACCTGAAACTTCTGAATATGGGTGCCTTAACAATCAGAATAGGATTCTGGGCCCCTTATAATATACTCATAATAAGGACACCGCCCCCCCCCCCCTCGGCCCCTCCCAATAGTGGTAACTCTTATTTAGGCCCCTATAGTATGTCAGAGAGACTGCTCAAGCCTTGGGAGCGCCCGCTCCTGGAACAAGAAGATGTTCAGCGGAGCCGCGAATCCCTGATGATGTGCTGGAGGGGGTTTGGATTTAAAGGGAACTCCAGAAAGTTGGAATATGGTTTCAGGGTAGGATACCCTATAATTTACCATAAAGGGTTTAGGATAATCATATTCCAACTTTCTGGCTCTTACTTCAGGGTGGAGAGCTTGGGGCAGATGGGGTCTTAGTCTACCCTAAGGGTCCATGTACCCAAATAGGGTTCCTTTAAGGGGTGCCTCAAAGGGTTCTATAAGGGCTCTGTAAGGGCTTAAGGGTTTTGGGTTTAACGGTCCAGGTACCCACATAGTATTTATATACTTTGTCCTTAAAGTACTCCCTCCATAGGTACACTGGGCCCAAAGTATATTCTATTTGGGTACATGGACCCTTAGGGCTCTGTATATGCCAGAGAGCTGCAGTGTCTTGTCTTGTTGCCCGGGCATAGGAGAAGTACTGGCACTTGAGTCAAGGGCAATACCTGGAGGCCCAGGGGACTAAGTAAGTCGGTTATAAGTAGGGCTATAATTGGGGCAACTCCATGGTAGTTATAACCCTACTTATAACCTACTTACTAAGTCCCCTGGGCCTCCAAGTAAGGCTTCAAGGTGGGCTGCCGACTTCTGTCGGTGCAGGCTCGGTACAACCCTCAGTCTGAACCCTAAACTACTATTTGCTTAAGAAACCCCCAAAAAATAACAATAATAATCCCTATATTACCCCCATAAGGAATATATTTTTTAAATTTCTTGGGGGTTCTTAAGCAAATAGTAGTAAACCATGAACCTTCAAGTCTCTGGCCCAAGGCTGTACCTGTAGCCGAAACGACCTACCTTTTTAGGGCTCCAAATTACGGTTTCTACATATAGTTAATATAATTCCTTAAAAAAGGTAGGAGTTTTCGGCTACAGGTAGGGCCTCAGCATCTCAAAAAAACACGTCCTGCAGTTTGGAGCTGTAGGGACTCCGGTGCTCGAAGCAATGCGAAGATCCCAAACCGAAGAGCTCCCTGAACCGAAGAGCTCCCTGAACCGAAGAGCTCCCTGAACCCTGAACCCATAGACCCTACAAGCCTACACCCCTAAACCCTAATCCCAAAGCCCCGAACCCTAATCCCAAAGCCCTAAACCACTAAACCCTAATCCCACTGAGGCAGATCAAGTGGGGACAGCTGCAGGGCTGACCCGAACAGAGCCCTCCTTAAGGTTCAGGGTGGCCCCGAAAACCGGAGGGCCCACAGTTGAAGGCTTCCGGTTCAGTTGCTTGTAGGCCTTACGGATTTGAACTTAACGCTTTGTTATTCAGGGTCCAATGGGCTCTTGCCCGGATTTAGCTCTGGACGGTGAGGCACAAAAGGCCAACACCTCTAAGTTCTACTGGTCGACGACGCAGGAGGCTCTGAACAGGCTGACTTGAGCCAAACTTGTCGGATATCATGTGGAGCTAAAGGTTAACCTTCTTGGTTATATAGGGATTATATAGGGACTATACCCTAAACCCTAAACCCTAAACCCTAAAGACTATGCTACCCAAAAAAGGCTAAAAGGTACCTACTCGATACCTCGGAAGCCAGACCCCAGCCAGGCCGAGGAGCATAGGTCCTTGACAATCTCATCCGTGGACTTGCCTGTCCGTACTTGGAGGATCATGGGACTTAGTAAGGGCTCCTCAAAAGGGCTATCTAAAGGGACTTGTAAGGAATTTATAGGGGTTCCTTAAAGGGATATATATAGGGTTTAGGGTTTTAGGGTCTACTTGGAGGATCATGGGACTTAGTAAGGGTCCTTAAAGGGCTCCTTAAAGGGATCTAAAGGGTTCCTTGAAGGGATCTATATGGGGTTTAGGGTTTAGGGTCTACTTGGAGGATCATGGGACTTAGTAAGTAAGGTTATAAGTTACCTTAATTGGGGTTAAGTAGAGTAGTGAGTGAGAGTTTGGCGCCCACTTGCCCTCGGCCTTTCCGAAAGGGACGCGTACTGTAAGAGTCTCTCGACTCACCCCAGGCTTCATGCTTAATATAATGGCCTTGATACTTAGAATAGGGTTTGGGGGTATAACTATACTGAGGAAACCCCAAATTAGTAGTGGTCATTGTTTAGGCCCCTATTAGTAGTAGGGAAACCGACTGGTCTAAATATCAGCATCATCAACACCATCCACACACATTTGGATGGTTGTCAAAATTAGGTCCCTTTTGGGGGTCCCTAATACAATACGGCACCTATTATTTAGGGTACCCAAAAAGGGACCTTAATTTTGACAACCACCCACTTGTCGGTCGTGGCCTAGAGATCTGTCGGCTGGGGGACGGGCTTGAGAACATGCGCTGCTTGTTCTGGTCTTCCTTTTGTATCTTTAGGGTTTAAGGTTTAGGGGTTTAGGGTTTAGGGGTTTAGGAGCCTTATTATCGGAAGCCAAAAGGAGATGCAGAGTATAAGAGAGCGAAGCATGATCTGGCCGTCTAGACACGAACTAGGCAAACACTAAACTGTGAAGCCCCATCGCACAGCCAAAACGGCCAATACCACCACGCATCGATGTACAACCAAAGCATACCCCAAAAACCCGAAGTCCCATTCTTGCAAAGGACATAGCATGCCTCCGGAGCCACCGCTGTCCTTCGGCTGCGTCTCAATGATGGTCGTGATCATCCTTATAAGAGGCTAACGGTTGCAGAGCTTTTGGTCCGGGGGGGCTTCTGGGGTTTGGGATTTAGGTTCTTTTTTTTTAAAAAAGTGCATCGGACTTTTGATTACTCGCCAGCCCGCCTTTAGGTTCTTAGGCCTTGGAGGGATGATGTGCAGGAGTTTGAGAGTCTAGGCGCTTGGGGTCCATTTCTTGGCGCTGCACATGCAAGTCTGCGGAACTGGAATGACTAGAAAGTACGAGTTTCTCACATGGGACGGCTTCGGCTTAGAACATCAGGTCATCCTCCAGAGCAACTCAGGGGTTGCTTGCCATGCTCATGTTTATCTCGCAAAGCTTTTTTTTGAGAGCTTTCTGCTATGTGTGCGGGCTATGTCGAGCCTCCGATTCTGAAGACAAAGCAATGCAGGAAGCCAAGCCCCTTTGCTGGCATGCGCTGTGTGGGTTGTTCGTTATCTCCGTGGTGAATGATTGTACCAACTTCAGGCAGCTAAGGCAGGTTCTGGATGCTTCAGCGAAAACGTCGATTACCATTTTGATAGAAGGCAAAGGGTTAGGATTTAGGGATAGGCTGAATCCTCCGCCGCCCTGAAAAAGGGCATATCCGACTACAGCCTACCCTCAACCCTCAAACCTAAACCTCTAAACCCTGAACCCAGAAACACATATTAACTTATCCCTGACAAGTGTCTCTGATGCCTCCTTCATGCGGTATGTCAAATCTGCATTCGTGTGCAAGCCTGGCAAGACTGGCGTCGCAGAATAGTGATGTGAAGTAACAAAACAGCTGGGCAGATCTATGCAAGGCCTAAACAAATAGAGTAGGACTTTGGGATACTATTGTTTGACGGAAAATGCAGGTTCAGGACTCCTGCGACACAGTATTGGTAATATTGCTTGGCCGCAACCAACTCTACGATTAACATGTCTAGCAGAGTCGTAGTGAGAGGAGCGAAGCACTTCCACTGAAAGCCGATCACGCTCCTCCCTAAACCATGAACCCCTAAACCCTAAACCCCAAAGCCCTAAACCCTAAACCCCTAAACCCTAAACTAAACTCCCGATCACCCGATTTGCAAACCCGTTAGACCTAGAGAGGCACTTTTCAACATCCCCTGGGGTGAAAATCAGGAGGCCAGGGACTCCAATCTCCCTTAATTCAGGAATAGACCTTAAATTATAATAATAAGAGCCCTAATACCATTTAAAGAATATTCCTTAATTACGGGATATTGAAGCCTCTGGGAGGGCACTGTCACATCGTGCCAGATGACTACAATCAACGGCGCTGGACGCCAGAAGCGTCTTGTTCATGGTGCCGATGCTAGCAGCTGTTAGCATTCCCTGGAGGGCTTCAGTTGCATAACATGTAATCTGTACCGGAGTAAGCCATCATTTGGGTGGATGTTAGCACTGATGGAAACCAGCAATGAAGGGAGAGCTCTAACTCATGGTAGTTTGTCAGCCAGAAGCTGCACTGAACTTAAGCTGTATATAACCCCACACCCTTAAACCTATGCTGCTTCCGAGTGCGCTGAACTTTACCAGTAACCCCATTCCCCAAAACCTACATGGGTGGTTGTCAAAATTAGGGTCCCTTTTCGGGTCCCTATTCTAATACGGCACCTAATATTTAGGGTACCCAAAAAGGGACCATAATTTTGACAACTACCCACATCAACATGCTGCTTCCGAGTCTTTAACATGAACTTGCAAAGCATCAGCCGGCATGACCGAAGATCAACGGCGAGTCGACTGGGGGGATCGTGTCAATCGCATCCTGTGGGCAAAGGCGGGGTCAGCCTTGAATCCCATGGAACAGCCTGAAAAGAGCTCTTAAAGTTTAGAGCCCTGAACTCTCGACAATTAAACCCTCTGAGTTTTTGGTTGTCGCACTGTGGGCGCGGGAACTGGGGAGCAAGCTCACAATTCTGGGAGGAAGGGTTTAGGGGTCCGTCTTTCTGTTGTCAGATCAGGCATATGCTCTGCCATCGTTCGCACATGTTGCGGAAAGCTTTTAATCACCACTCCCACCAGCGATTTTCTCCAGGGGTAAGCCCAGAGCCTAACACATCGACAACCGGCACACTAAACTTGCCAAAGGCGAATCAGACCCCAGGGATCTGAAACAAGAAATGCATGATTCCTTCCCCGCTCCCCCTAAACACTGATAGCGCGCTCCTGCTCTATCCCTGGCCCTGGCACCCAACCCTGAATACCCCTAAACCCTAAACCCTAGATGAGCCTAAAGCCCTAAACCCTAAACCATGAACCTGTTGATCTTGCTTCCCTCTAAGCCCTTGCACCTTGAACTGCTGGATGTCCAGGCCCTCTGGAATCTTGTAGTTGAACTCCGACCTCGCTGCTGCTGGCTATGACCTATACGCCTTGAAGGTTTAAGAATTGCAGATGAGACTCAAGAGCTAGGACAGCTAGGACTTGAGGTCGTGTAAAGCTATAAAGGGCGAAGCTTTGTGGTTTCATGCTGGGCTGCTGCAGTTCGTTGCGATCTGCGGGGCTTGGGTTTGACGGATGCATCAGGGGCTTTCCCTAAGGGTCCATGTACCTAAATAGTATATACATTGGCCTTAAAGTACTCCCTATATGGGTACATTGGGCCTCTAAGGATAGGGGATAGCCACAAGTAAGGTTACAAATGAGGATATTACCGTAGCTGTAAATATTCGCAGCTGCAATAGAATGCGCAGCGGGCTACAAGCACAGCAAAGACACAGTTGCACAGCTGAGAAACACAAGCTTGAGTTTCTACGCTAAACTCCAAACCCGAAAAAAACACGGGTGACAGTTACAAAGGCCCTGGCTGATAGTTGTTGAATGCGAAGGACGTCTTCCAGATGTCGTCACCTTCCATGCTCCAGTTTAGAGGTTACTGGAGGTAAAGGATTCCGGGTTTGCGCTTCCAAATGGTTTTTGCACAATACCCACTTGGAGGGTCGGGGGACTTAGTAACTGGCTATTTTCGGGACTTCTCTAAGTACCATAACACCAATTAGGGTCCCTTTTTAGGGTACTTATAAGTTTACTTACTACCTACTTACTAAGTCCCTGAACCCTAAACCCTAAACCCTATACTACCCTTATAGAGCCCTTTAAAGGAACCCTTAGAATCCCCTTTAAAGGAGCCCCTACTTACTAAGTCCACCGACCCTCCAAGCATGGTTTGCTGTAGCAGCTTCCTAGAGGGTTGGGGGCTGAGGGTGAGGAGCAGCTTTCTCGGTTATGGGGCCCCAAAAAAGCACATAAGCAAAAATTAGGGTAGGGACGTCCCATATAAATCCCCTTATAATGAAGCCCAATAAGGTAGGGATATCCCCATAAAATGCTTATGCTTACGTGCTTTTTGGGTCCCTGAGCTTAACTCTGGACAGGCTGCAGAACCACTTGGCGGCATAGGTGTTGAACAGCTCACGATCCTTAGCCGAGCACGCCGTTCTTGACCGTTGAAGAGTATCCGGCTTCAGACCTTATGCATATGTACACACACATGCATGCATACGTACGTACATACGTACATAAATACATAGACTCATAGATACATAGATAAAAACATACATACATGCATGCATACATACCTACCTATGTATACACACATACACTTAATTTCAGATATATGTATGTCTGTATTCATGCATTTAGCTATCTATTCGCTACATTCGTCTGGTTTTGTGTTGAATGTTGTCGAGTTGGCGGAGACTTAGAGGCTTAGAGGTTTCCGGGTGTCCGGCGAGGGAGTGAAACGAATTGGGCCGTGGCCATTTGGGCAGACTGAGACTATCTGCCGAAGTAAATTAAACCTGGTCTCCTTGTATCCTGGTGGTCATGGATGGTGGTCTTGTTTGTGTTAGTCGTCCTGGTTGTCACTGTACTCTATCAGTGTTTGGGAGCAGACCCTGGGGGAGCAGTACTGCTATTCTCGCAAACCTCTATATACTACTATATCTCCCACACACACACAAACAAATAGAGTACCATTCTAAAGGAAATCTGGTCCTACTGCACTTCATGGAGAACGCATCGCACCCTCGAGTTGCTTCGTAGGATTTAGGGTGCAGGGTTCTCGGAGTTTAGGGTTCGGGGTGTAGGGCGCAAGGGTTTTAAATCATTAGGGCAGGAAGCCAAGTCGTCCGTAATACGTCCACCGTACTGTGCTTCGGCCACCATGTACTGCACCGTCACCTTGGAATGTCGTGACTTTGAGCTTACATGACCGTGCATTTTCGTGGACTGTCTTACGCTCTAGAGGTACTCTCTGTGCACATTTCACATGACATCCCAGGGACCCTAGGCGGCAGAGCTTCTCCAGAATCTGAGGTAACACCTTCCCGCGAACAAGATCCCGAACAACTCTGCTGAATGCTCGTGTAAACCCTATAAAACCCTAAACCCTAAACCCTACTATAAGCACCCTGAGCACTCTAAAGACCCAAAATCCAGTCCGAACGGCAGGCCCGAAATCAAAAAAACAAATCGACCTCAAACCACAGTGAAGGCCGGACACCCAGGATCAGGAGATCCCTAAACCTAGGGTTCCTTACTGCTGATGGACAAAATCCTGCATTACCCTAAGGACTCTAAACTATGGGAACTATGGTATATTCCTTATAAAGAGTAGTGCAGGATTTTGTCCATCAACAGTATGATGACTATACAATAACATGCCCCAGAGCCCTTTTCTAAGTCTTACGGCTCTGTGCTAAATCATTGTAATAGCCCTACTTATAGCAGCCCTTGCAAGCCCCTTTCAAGCAACCCTAGTCTAAGTATTGAGGCCCCTGAATTACACCCTTATACTACCCCTTATAGTAACCCCCCCTAAACCCTGAACCCCTAACACTGTAGTAGACCCTCAGCCTTTCAAAATATCCAAGTATTAAGGCCCCTCTACTTAAAGGATCGAAGGACTTAGTAACTAGGGTTATAATTCGGGTAACTCTATCTATAACCACTAAATAACCCCAATTAAGGTACTTATAACCTTACTAACAAAGTCCCATGATCCTCCAAGTAGACCCTAAAACCCTAAACCCTATATATCTCCCTTTAAGGAACCCCTATAAGTTCCTTACAAATCCCTTTAAATAGCTCTTTTGAGGAGCCCTTACTAAGTCCCATGATCCTCCAAGTACTAAAGTGACTGGACACCCAGGAGATCGGTGAGCCGGCCATGATCGTGGTCGAAACATGCTTCTCCAGGAAGAGAAGGCCTTATAAGGCTTGGAGGATCATTGGACTTAGTAAGGGCTCCTTAAAAGGGCTATTTAAAGGGATTTATAAGGGATGAAAAAGGGGTCCTATGCTTCTCCAGGAAGAGAAGGCCTTATAGTGAACCCCAGAAAGTTGGAACATGGATTTAGGAGGATCCGTGCTAGGATTCCCTATACTTTGCTTTAAGAGCATGAGGCTAATGATGTTCCAACTTTCTGGCGTTTCCAGGAAGAGAAGGCCTTACAGGGCTTAGAGCTTAGGGTTTGGGGTTTAGGGTTTAGGATTTAAGGTTTAGGGCTTAAGGTTTAAGGTTTAGGGTATATAGGTCTTAGAGTAAGGCTTGGAGCTTATGGTTCACGGCTTTGGTTTAAGGTCTAGGGTTTTGGGGTTTAGGCTCTGGGTTTAGGGCTTTGGGTTCAAGGTTTAGGGATTTAGGGATCCTGGTTGCAGGCTTTCGGAATTTCGGCGCCTCTCTCCAAGAACACTGGCTGAATGCCGCGAGGGGAGGCAGAGAGACATAGAGAGAGGTAGAGAGAAACAGACGCTTGAGGAACAGAAAGCCTTAATGAGTTGGGACTCAGGATTGTTGGATTGAGGGACCATGGCGACTATGGAGTGTTGATGGATGTGGACATGCTGGGTGAGGTTGGCAGTGGCTTGGAGGTGTGCTAGGGCCAGAAGTCATCTAACACAGGGGCCTTAACAAGTACCTATACTCTTTTGCGGGTTCCTTATGACAATTATAGCACAATGGGCCACAACTTTATTCAAATTATGAAGGCCCCTATACTACCAGGCTGTGGCCCTGAAGCTTGATCTTCAATGCCCGGGCTGACGTCTAAGAACCCCAACCCGGCCCCTACCTTCCTCTACTCCGCATGTGTGTTTTTTGGTGGGGGGGGGGGTGTACTTGTCGGGAATCATGGGGAACTAAAGGTTAACCTTTTGGGTTATCAAGGGAGTATATAGGGACTATACCACCCCAAAAAGGTTGAAGGCTACCTACTCTACTACGAGGGGGAGAAGGCAGACGGCGATCTTCGGTTTGGTTGTTGGGTGCGAAGATGAATGCAGTGATGCCGAAGATTAGCATGACGAGGTCCAAAACGATGTCGATGATGACAACATTGATACTGCTGCTGCTGATGATGGTGATGACTGTGGTGACGATGATGATAACGATGGTGGTGGTGATGGTGATGAGGAGGAGGATAACGGTACTGCCGATCCTGATGCTGCTGCTTCTGATGATAAAACTGGATGGAGACCAGGACGATTACTGCTACCCAAGGACATCGGGAGAAATGGTGCTATTGTGGATCGTGAAACTATCTGCAGTCGGACTGGTGGCAGCATAACAGCGTTCTGCTTGTAATTACACCATTTCACTGAAACGAGACGACATACGGACATCGATACCAAAACTCCGAAATCTGAGCCTCAAGTGGCAGCCTCGCTCACACAGCACCAAAATCCGACACCCTGAACCTGCAACCGCCACCCAAGTTCCTCAAATCTGAATCCTGCAAAAGCCGTGCAAAACCATTGGCCCGTACGTAACCCCTGAACCACGCAGTACATAAGCCCCCCAAAAATGCAAGCCCAGTTGCAGGCGTCCAGGTCAGAGTTGTTGTACTCGTACGGAATACACCAGCCGATCGGGCCTTTGTTAAGTTTTCAGGTCAAGGTATACCCTAAAATGTGCAAAATCCCAATGTCGACCCTTTGTCCTAAAACCTTTATAGCCCTTGAAATTCCTGCAGGCCGCTAGCACGTACATCCCCCAACTGCCACAACCAAACCTCAACTCTCTGCTAACTTCCTCAATTTGCGGAATCCCCAACCAACTCGCAAAATCGCTGGAAGCTCTACAAATCCCTCAAGCCCACGCAGACAAGAAAAACTTCCCCTTGAACACTTGAACCCCGAACCTTGACTTCCGACCCAAACGAACCTTTAACAAACCAAGCGCTAAACCCGTCGTTCTAAACTCTGAATCCCAATGAGAGCCAAAAAGACAGCCCTAAGATCAAAATCCCCTCGGAACTTGGCTGGGCTAGGGCTCCAGCCGAACTTTCGCCGCTCCTGCACGATACCTTGGGGGGGTTGTAGGGCCCTTGGCTTTGGAGGTTCAATTGGAAGAACCCCTTCTCCGTTTTGTTGAACCCCTCCTAACACCACTGAATACCAAATCAAACTTCCACGGAAAGTGTTTAGTGTCAGGGGCTGTGGCTTAGAATCTGCCCACTGCCCAGTGATTTATTCTACCTTGGTTTGGCAGGCCACAGTATCTGCAGTCCTACATTCCTGCGGGCCCTCAATCCAAAACACACACGCTGCCAGGAAGAGAGGAAGAGAGAGAGAGAGAGAGGGAGACCTTCACCCATGAGGACGATCCCTAGTCTCTGCCTGGCAGCACCTATTGCATGCCCGTTATTGATATTAGATACTGCCATGATGACTATTATGACTGTCATTATGTCTTTAGCGGTCGAGGTTCTCGAACTTTCATAACGTCATGGTGATGTCCGAAGCTGGGGTCTGCTTCTTTCTGCTTAGCGTTTAATTACGGCTTATGCCTATTAGGGTTTAGCGTTTAGCGCCGATTAGTGCCTCTACTAGGGTTTGGGGCAGGGCATCAGGTTTCCAGTAATAGTGTCCAGGGAACCATAACCGCTACTGCTTGGAGCGTGCACCTGCCTTCAGTGTGGTGGCCTGCATTTCCCGTGCCAGCCCAGAACCCCGAAGCACACGGTACATGCTTTGGTTTGGAGAAAGTTCTGCCAAAAACCTTCAAAGAACAAGGAACCCTCAAGCGAGTGCGAAAACCCTCCAACCTCTTCGCTACACCTGACGTGCGAGCTGTGATGCTGTGTAAGAATGCCTGCACAAACACCAGGGTTCGCCACTGAGGCAGGTCAATCCTCAGCAAAGCAGAGGCCCTAAAAAACGCACACGTGTCAGAGCTTCAGGATTTCAAGGTTTATGATTTTGGGTTCGAGGTTTGCTTTCTGGCGACAGCGGCGCAAATCTGCACAGCCTGCATGCAGCATTCTTACCCATGCTTCCAGAGTCTGCTGATAATTTAAAGTATGTTCCTCAATTAAGGGGTATTGGGCTCTCTGGGTACATTCTATATCGTAACCAAAGTTTTCGAGACGGAACCTCATCAGGCTCCCGCGTTATGCGTTGCAAATGGCATCTATCCCCCCAGGTTTAGGATTTTGGTTTAGGGCCTTAGGGGTTTAGGGCTTATAGGCTTTACGCCGCCAGCTTCTGAGTGCTGCACGCATATAGCAGGACGAGGCTTGGAGGTTTAGCTTTGGGGCTTTTGGCCCCGTTTCTTTTGTTGAGTGCCCTTTCTTGGAAGGGCAGGGGACTTAGGAAGTAGGTTATAAGTAGAGTTATAAGTACCCTAAATGGAGCTACCCTAATTATAACCCTACTTATGAACGACTTACTAAGTCCCCTGCCCCTCCAAGTAGACCCTAAACCCTAAACCCCATAGATCCCTTTTAAGGAACCCCTATAGATCCCTTTAAGGAGCCCTTTAAGATCCCTTACTAAGTCCCCTGCCCTTCCAAGTTGGCCCCGGTTTAGGGCGCAGGGTTGTAGTGCATAGGGTCTCAGGGGTTCCACTGAAAGGATCATGGGACTTAGTAAGGGTCCTTAAAGGGCTCTTTAAAGGGATCTATAGGGTTCCTGAAAGGGATCTATAGGGTTCCTTAAAGGGATCTATATGGGGTTTAGGGTTTAGGGTCTACTTACAGGATCATGGGACTTAGTAACTAGGGTTATATTTAGGGTAACTCCACTTACAACTACTCATAACCCCAATTAAGGTACTTATAACCTTACTTACTAAGTCCCATGAACCTCCAAGTATGCCCAATTTAGCCACCTGATACACAAAGCCCTGGACCAGAGTGTACGGGTGCAGATGCAGGGTGCTTTGTCCGTGCACCCCTTTTCAGCAAGCCAGCAAAAACAGCCAGAAATACGATTGCTATAACTAATATATACATCAATTATTGTTACTAGTAATATTGTGATTACTATACGGTTGATACGTATTGTAGACCTTGTATGGTTAGTATTGTTCTTACCATTATGCGCATCGAAGCCCAGCGACTTGTCCAACAGCTCTTGGGACACCATCGTGCCTGGATGCTGCGGCATCGAATGCAACTTTCAGTTACACCGAAATCAGGCACCGGTACTCGTTACAAGAAGGCGTCTACAAGCCGCTGGCAGATGATAAGAATAGCGGTGACTATGATTGTCACCAATGACACATATGCGGCGGAGTCTACGGATGAAATCAGCAAGGACATGAAAGTCTCGTCTGAAGCGCCGACTTTCCTAAAATCCCATTTGTAGGGCTCCGGGTTCAGCTGGGCAGGGTATGGTTCCCGCTGCGAATCCTGCAGGGAATCCCGCGAAACCCATGACTTTCAGGCCTGCGTCCACTGATAGCCCAACATCATGGCCCCATCCATTTTGCTACTATCACCGTCATCGCCATTTCCATCCAATTTCACAGTCATTTGCAACTTTATAATCAGAAGTATCAGCATCATCAGCTGCATCATCCGCATAGCCAGCGTCATCACCATCATCATCGTCATCATCAGCACCACCACCATCATAATAATCATCATCATTGTGCGTGATCGTGATCGTCATCTCATCATCATCATGACCACCATCATACTTTTCTTCTTCAGCATGTTCAACATCCTCCGCATCATCAACATGACCACCGTCATCATCAACAGCAACAGCACCATCGTCATCAACATCCTCCTGCTCCTTCCAATCATCATCTTCTTCTTCAACATCATCAACATCCTCCCCCTCCTCTTCAGCATCAACCGTTTCACCATCGTCAACATCACCAAGATCATCATGTTACTATACTTCATAATGTTCACCGTCAATTTGTAGCACCACACCCAGGGGAAGGCCGGATCTTTGATCCAAGGGTAAGAGGAGGGACCCTTAATAAGGACCCCTAGGTATATACCCTTCATACAGCTATTACATAGCCCATTCTATAGCCCATTATGGGGTAGGGGTCCCCATTAAAGGTCCCTCCTTTTCCCCTTGGATTTGAACCCTAGCAAAAATTATAATTTTAGCTGTTTCTTAGGGGTTGTAATAACAAAAATTAAAAAAAATATATATATATATATATATATATATATATTTCTAAATACCCCTAAGCCCAGAAGGCCGGAAGCCAGGGGTTATAGTATATGATTATAGGGTTGTGGCTTAGCAGGTCTACCTGCGGATCTTTGAGCCAAGTAACAAAAAAATAAAAACAATAAAAATAAATTCTAAATACCCCTAAGCCCAGAAGGCCGGATCTCTGAGCCAGGGCACTGTAGGTTCTGTAGAGACCGGCTTTCAATCCGGCTGGTGGCTCCAAGGTCACCTTCCCGCTTTTGTGGCTCGGGAACCCAGAGACCCCAATACCCCTTAAATAAGGAATATACCCCCTAAGGGTTCTTTAAAGGGGTCTATAAGGGATCTATAAGGTTTAGGGTATAGGGTTTAGGGTTTAGGGGACTCCAATACCCCTGAATTAAGGAATATGGCTTAAATTATATAGGGCTTCATATTTTGATTTAAGCTATATTTCTTAATTAAGGGGTACTGGGCTCTCTGGGAACCCAGAGAACCGAATATCCGTTAATTAAGGGGCATTCCTTAAGTCACATTAGGGATCCTTAATAGATATTCCTTAAGTTACATCAGGGATCCTTAATGGAAATTCCTTAAGTTACATTAGGGATCCTAATAGAATTTAAGGTATACTAATTAGTGTAAGGGATAGTGGAGTCTCTGGGAAAACTGAGACGTTCATAAAAGGGGGCGCAAGAATCAATTAGAATAGGGTTCCCTGGAAAGGTTCCTTTCAAGGGGCTACATAAGGGTCACAATAAGGTAAAAGCCAGAAAGTTGGAATACGATTATCCTAAACCCTTTATGGTAAATCATAGGGTATCCTACCATTAATCCATATTCCAACTTTCTGGAGTTCCCTTTAAAGGAAGGGACTTCAGGTCAAAAAAGAAATAGAACGGGGCTTTGGGGTATAGTCATAGCGTATGCAAACTCTTGCCATTCCCTTACTCTGAACTCAGACTCAATGTACGGATACCCTTAACCCTAAACCCCGGAGTTTTGGGCTGCGGGTTCGGTTTTTCACGACTGAGGGTGCAAGTCCTTCGCTATCTTGCATCTCGAGCAGAAGGGTTTCTCCACTAGTGTGGATGGGAGAACTCAATCTTTGTTGACTGTTGGGTGGGGCGCAACACTAAAATTCCTGCATAGGATGGTGAAACGCTGTCCGGATGAGGCGATGAAGGCTTGGGCGTAGGAGTAGGCATCGACTGCAAAATGGGTTTAGGGACCCATGCGTGCGCCACAGAACATCATGGACCCCGAAGTTGGTACTGTATCTATGCTTGGAGGCTAAGGGGCTTGAACTTCCAAGAAGTCCATTCAGGGTGGATGACGTCAGGCAGTCCGGGATCGAGAGCTTCAAGCTCAAACAGCCGAGATTCTTTCCTAGATTCTTTCCCTGTGCGGGAGAAGTCAGCAACGACAGGACCTGAACACAAACCTCCAAACCCAGCATGTACACTCCACACCCCAATTCGGAACTCCTCCATTGAATGAGTGCTTCAGAGCGCTTTGGAGGCCCTTGTTTACACCAGAAGCCTTGTAAGAACAACCCAAGCACAACCCTGGAGCCCGCCTTAATGGCAATCTGCAGCAGGCCGATCGGGAAGCGGAGCGTGATCTCACCTCAGAGGCGAAGGTAACGAATATGAACCTTACTAAGATCATCATTGTGGCAAACGGTATTCGTACTAGCCATACTATTCATAGCAAACTGCATCAGGAAGGTGATGTGCTAAAGAGGAATCACAGAATTCGTACATAGACGTACAACTATGAAGAAACATGAAATTGCGAATGCAGGAGCAAGGGCAGACGAGACGATCCTCCGTTCCAAACTCTCGAAACATTGAAGCCCAGTAAACCCGGAACCTTACAGCATTCAGGGTTCGGGACAACTAAGCCCTTACCTTACCAGATTAAACCTGCACACCCATGCACAAGTAACCCTTGTCATGTCAAGGCCTAACTCCTGAACCTAGTGAAATCCCTACAAGTCCCATGATTCCCTCAAAAGCCCAAAGATTTTCACCCTCGGCCCAGGATACTCAGCTCCGGGCAGGTAATCCACAGCCTGTGGGATGCTGGGATTCGGGTCTCGCGTGTAAGGGTGCAGGGTTTTGCGGCTTTGTTGGGTCTTAGGGTTGGGGCTCAGGGTTTAGAGTTTAAAGTCTAAGGGATATGGCCAAGCACTGTGTACCAAAAAACGTTTCGTAGTCAATGGACCAACGAACTCGGACTCCCGCCGCTTCTGGTGCTTGCATTAAGGGAGCGAACCGTGCGATGGCAGTGTCATATCTGCAACGCTACTAGGTTCATGGGCAGTTGTAAGTGGGGTTATAAGTCCCCTAGTATAGGTTATAACCCTAGATATCCTTCTTATAACCGTACTTTTATATCTACCAACCTCCAAGTAGGCTGGACGTGAAATCACAAAGCAACAACGAATCCCAGAGAACGTATTCACATGATTGCGATCACAACGGTGTTCACACAGTTAGCATCAGTCGTCGCTGCACCGGTTGTGCTTCATGTCGAAGTCGAATCAACGGAAAAAACAGATATCTACAGTAGCAGCAGGAACAAAAACCGGCTACCATTACTCGATATCATCAATAGCGGCAGAAGAGTTACGTAGCACAATCACAGTCTCAACAAGAGGAAGTTCCAGTTACACCAGCCGAGTCATGGCACCCCCGAAACCCTAAACTTTGAAAGGATGCCAAGTATAAACTGACAAGCAATCTTAAAACTGTGGGGATTGGGGCCAGCCCCTGCCCACCCCCCCACCCAAGGGGCTCGCAAAACAAGATGGCACACACAACAAGATTGTACGTCTCTGATCAGTAAGCCTTCAATCCGAAACTCTCCTCCACGACTTTAGGCACCGGCCTAATAATACCGTAAACTTGTACATATGTAATTACAATGGAATCCCGTCCTTGGCCTGAAACCCTAAACCCTCACCCTCAACAATTAGAGCCCATGCAGGCCTGAATGCTTCATCGATCTCTGGGGTCTTCAGCAGAACATCCTCGAGCTCGCACATGTAGCCTCAAGTGTTGATCTTAAGTTCTGCCGAGCTGGGTTTAAAGGTCTAAAGCGTTTTGGGTTTGGGTTTTAGGGTTGCACTTTGGCTTCATAAAATAGTTCGGGCTTGGGGTCTTCGGGGTGTTGGGCTGTGGAGGGCTCTCCTAAAAGGATACTATAGCGGCCTCAATTACTAGAAGAAGGTTTCGATACTAAGGAACCCTAAGGCATAGTATTGGTAATTTTTAAGCCCGGAAATAAGCTCATCATAACCGAAAGTCTCGGGCGCTAAGCAGCTATCTACCCGGAATCTACCCATTCTCCGAGCTTAATAGATTTGCGGTTTAGGGCTATACACCCCTGAACCCTATACCTTGGCCCTGTATAAGGGTCACAATAAGAGCCACGGATACTTAAATAGAGTGTGCTCCATATGCAAATATTATCTGGCTGATCTAGAGTGGGCTATACTAAATCCTTATAATAGCCCTTCCAGACCCCTTTAAAGGAACCCATTATTAAAGCCCCTACCTTAGCGAGGCCCGTAGAGTAAGAAGGCCGGCAGTACCCAACCGCTACCTTGTTGAGAGTTTTGGATCTGGGGTTTACACTCTTTGGCAAGCAGCATGGGGCAGTTCAGCAACCCGAACCTCCCCTAGAGAAGAAGAAGAAGAAGAAGAAGTGAACGGTCCAGTGCTTAGGGCTTTGGGGCTCGGTGGTTTTCCTATCACATGCCTATGCTGTGCTCTACTACACTAAATACCAGATTATACTATATACTATACTATAATACACTAGGTTTTCGTTATGCGAGCTGAAATTATACTATCATGTAGCGCTATACTATGTAGGGCTTGGGGCTCCGGGTAATAACATTTAGGTCCTCGGCCTTGAACATCAGCATCTTGCACGATGTCACTTTGACCGGCAAGCCGTCCGAATCTGAGGTCGAAACGGCTGAATTCTATATCCTATGTCTTAAATGGCTGGGGATAGGTAGGCTGTATGGTGTTCCTTTCTCAAGAACCCCTTTCCAAGCTAAGAGCTCCTTGCCTCTAAGTTCTGGACCCTACACCCTAGAATTCCCGCCTAGACCCGAAACCCTGAACCCTCGGCCCCAAAATCTACAGCCTAAGCCCCAAACCCTAAGCCCCTGAATCCTAAATCCGAAGCCCGAAGCCCCTAAATCCTAAACCCTTCCATTTGGGAGTTTCCGAAAATAGGGGACCCTAATACAGTACCCCAAATAGTAGGATCCTTATATTATAAGGCCCCCAGAATAAGGTACCCCTAATTTTCGGAAACTCCCATTTTACACCAGGGGGGCCGATGCCCAGGTGCGAGTTCTGCAGGATCACCCAGCCGCCGGTGACAAAGGCTGCATTGTTCTTCTCCTTCGTTCAGGATGTATAGTAGAAGCCAGAAAGTTGGAACATCAGACTCCTCATGCCCTTAAGGTAAAGTATAAGGGATCCTTGCACTAATCCTCCTAAAGCCAGGTTCCAACTTTCAGGCTTCTACTGTAGGGTACCATAACAATAACAACAGTAAATGAAAACGGTCAAGCAAGATAAGAACAATCGTAACACTAGTGATAACAAACGTGATGCTAAGAAAGGCAAAAAAACACAACGCCGATACCTAACCAAAACAAGCGTTTGCTGCATAAGGCCTATAGGGCTTTTATTTGTAAGCTCTGCAACTTCCGTTATAGGATACGTGCAGCATCAGGCTTCAAGGTTTAGGGTGCTTTGTGGTCTGTGGCTTGGGCCTGAGTGACATCCTGGCAGGACGGCGGAGAACCCGAGATTTCAAAACAGCCACCCAAACCCGAAATGTCCTGAACGGTTCAGGGTTTAGGGCTTGACTCTAAACTCTAACCAGCGAGCCGCTACACTCCTAAGTTCGACTTTGACGGTTGACCGCTGTGAGATACAGGGTTTACAGCTCAGGGGTCAGCGTCGTCTTGATTATACAAGACTGGGTCTCAGAGGTGAGCGACAAAGTAGCAAAGAAACTCATTAGTGCGGCTCCTACTTACCGCTCAGCGGAACAGTCTTGTCAATCACCCCGTTTCTGGGCAATTGGACCCTTCGGGTACGCCACAAGTTACAAACACAATCTTCAAAGCTATGACCCACCAGCGACACTGGGATCCCCGACGCGAGCAACCTTCTCCTGGCCTTCTCCCATGGACACCTCGTGTAGGGTTTTGGCACATTCGGGTCTGGAGATTTGCGCAAGGGGTTTAGGGTGTGGAGGGTGACGTTTGGAAGGGCTTGTCGCTGTAAGGAGGCAAGCTTATGGCATTGATGAAGCAGCTATCTTGCCACTTGATGCTGCCATGCTTCGATTTTTGAAATCTGTAGACCCTCAAACCTACACGCCAAAACCTACACCCTAAACCCTATGTACCCTAAACCCTATACCCTAAACCCTATACCCCTAAGACCCAAACCCTAAGCCGACATGCACCAAGCTCTTGCATTTGGAGACTCGGCTCGGGGTTTTGGGCGCAAGGCCTCTAGTGGAGCATGTGATCCAGGTTCTACGATTCATCGTAATAAGAATGAAATGTTAATACAGATAAAATAATGTGAAGATAAAAAATAATAATCAAATGACAATACTAATAATAATAATAATAATAATAATAATAATAAACTTTAATAATATCGGGGCCTGAATAATTAGAACAGGTTTTCTTACGGGGTCGTTTCAGGGTTCTGTATAAGATGTAGGGGTACCGGGGCCTTAATATTGTCCATAAAGTTGGGGGCATTTTCTCTATATAGTTGTAATAAGGAAACCCCAAGAATTGATAATTATTTGAGCCCCTATACAGAAATAGTAGTAGTAGGAGCAGCAGTAGCATTAGTAGTAGCAGTAGTAGTAGTAGTAGTAGTAGTAGCAGCAGTAGTAGTAGTAGCAGCAGCAGGAGTAGTACAATCTTCAAGTGCTCTGGGATACGTCGGGCTCCAGGGCTTAGGGATTTTACTTCTCATCCTAAAGAGACAGAGGCAGGTGTCCGAGACAAGATCATTCCAAGTGTAAGCTCCCATGCCTCCACCCTCCAGATACTTGCCTTTGGTTAGTAGGGAATGGAAGAATGGTATAGTAATACTAGTTATAATTGCACCCCCATTCCTCCATTCCCTACTGACCAAAGGTAAGGATACGGAAACCCCTGTCAGAACCCAAAGCTCCACAGGAAGACTGCAGCTTAGGAGCTGCGATCGTCACAAGTCATAGTTGGAGCCAGAGGTTTTGGGTTTAGTTGACACTTGGGGTTCTGAACCTGCGGATCTAGGATTGCGACCTTAACACTCCTAAACCCCTGAACCCTAAACTCTAAAACCTAAACAATGAAACAAACCCAAGGAGTGGGCCTTGTCAGTCGGGTATTTCTTCTTCTTTTTCGCCAGCTCATCGATGCTGAAGGTCGGATCACTGCCTGCTCTCGGAATTTTTGAGGGCTTAAGGTTTAGGGGCTTAAAAATTCAGGGGTGATTTAGGGGATAACGGGTTCAGGATTTGGGGTTCCAGGGTTCAGGGTGTTAGAGTAAGGGTTTCGGGTTTCCGGGTTCTGCCGTGCCAGTTTCTCTGTTGTGGTTTAGGGTTTAGGGTTTAGGGTTTAGGGTTTAGGGTTTAGGGTTTAGGGGTTTTTACTCCTTTACCCCTCGCTCGCTCTCGCAAAGGGCTGTTCATGCTCTGTGGAAAAGACTGCTACGAATCGCTGTTACTTCTACTCTAACCTTAACGCCTAAACCCTAAACCCCTAAACCTGAAACCCTAAACCCTAGGCAGCACGTCCAGCCTGCAGTGAGCAGATACAACACGGGCTTCCGCGCCATTGACTCCTCTGCAGTAGCTGATCTTTGCCCCTCCCTTGAGCTGTCGGGGTCCAGGGTTGAGTGGTTCAGGATTAATTGAAGATCGCGGCGGTTGCCTCAGCTTTTCGTAGGGTTGAGACTACATACCCTGCTGGTTCAGTCTCGTATGGTTCTTATCAGGCACTGGCTGCCAGTTTGAGAGCTGCAGTATTTTGAGGCCCTGCCTCAAGCAACCAAAAAAACGATTCCAGAGAATGACACAAAGCGAAAATCCCAAAGTGGACTCATGTCCTGAATCGAATCATCCTGATGCACAAACGGCACCCTGGGCCTCCAACATAGCAACATGCTCTGGTATCAACCCGAGAGAGATACATCTGAGACTTGCCATAGTGCGTTTGCATACCTTTGTGGCCACGGCCCAATGCAACGGCAAAACCACCTCTTCCCACACAAATTCTGAACATCGAGACGTCTATTCTGAATTTGTTCTTGATAGCCGCGAACAAAACCCTAAACCCTAAACCCCTAAAACTCCTCGTAAATGTCGGCAATTCCATCCGTGACAGGAGCCGTGAAGCGCGAGTCCAACATCGCCTGGCGAGCTGGCGGCTGCAGGTTTGAGATGGGAGTTTCCGAAAACAGGGGACCCTAATATGGTAGCCTAAATAGTAGGATCCGTATTACAAGGACCCCAAAATAAGGCTTTCCTTAAAATCCCAAACCTTATATTTTTGTGGGTGCTTATCATAAACCCTAATATGGAATTTATAGGGACCCTCACTATAGGTAGATTAAGGTTTGGCTCAAGGGTTCAGGTGCGAGTCTGGCTTTGGGATACGAGAGCTTCAGAAAAGACGTGGCCCTTGGTTTAAAGTTTAGACCCCAGACAGTACCATTTACCCCATTTGAAGCCTCTACCAGAATTCTGATGAATACTTCTGGTGTGGACTAGGCTCGGCTAGAAATTGCATACTCATCCAAAAAATATACTGGCAGAAATGATGAAAGTATTACAGAGTAGCACATACTGTAGGCGGAGAGAGCCACGTGGATAAGAGAGTGACAGCGGAGCATGTGAAACAAAAGCGAAGCTTATGAAGCAATCCCCAAAACCCGACAATAGTCCGTCCAACAACCGACACTCATGCACTATGTACATTAAACGTCTTCAAAAAGTACAAAGACTTGCGCAGGCATGCATGCAAACATGCGCACGTACACACAGACATACAGACATGCTTGCATTGGAATTCATACTCTTGCCTGCCTACTCACTTTCTCCTCCCTGCCTGCTTGCTAGCCGGGGTGAAGCTGCTTACATGCCTACTTGCTCACTTACATGGCCACTTACCTGCCTGCCTGCGTGCCTGCCTGCCTTCCTTCCTTGCGAAGTTACTTACCGTCGAAAGCATCCTTGAACGTAAGCCTCAACCTAGACCCCCCAAGTGCCGGTTAAAGGGCTCTGATATTTCTCATTAAGAGGTAATTCGGGTAGTTGTGGGGTCGAGGAAAGATCTGCGAGAACGAGAAAGGCAAAAAGCAAATCCCTTGCCTCGATGAACTGGTTGCAGGAGATGGTGGTTCGATCCTCACCTTGCCAGTCGCTTCGATCCCTAAACCCTAAACCCTAAACCCTAAACCGTGGAATATGGGCTTTCTGGGGCGGCGGGGGGATGTTTGGAGCGGGGGGGAGGTTCAGGGTGACAGGGTTGTATGGGACTTGAGAGATATTACAGCAGATTACTAGGCTGCCAGAACCCCAGCTAAGTTTATAAGACATGGCAACAATGATAAACATACTGACTCATGATTCACGAATGATGACCCTGGGAGCTGAATCACAGTAGCCAACAATATAGAAAAACAGTCATCATTTATCTCAGCAGCTGATGTCAGCGTAACACAAGCAAGACTACAGGTGTTTAACTGTCGGCAGAAACATCAATTTCCCATGGTGGAAGTGAGATGCACGAAGACAACTTGCCTCGAGGGTAGAAGGGGTTCTGCTGTCTCAAGCTTGGAGTTTTGAAGTAGAAGCCAGAAAGTTGGCACCTCACTATCCTCATGCCGTTGGGGTGGAATGTCGCGAATCCGATTACTAGCCATCCTCGATCCACTGACCGCGCACGGGCCGTCAGGGTCTGGGGATGTAGCTTTCAGGGATCCCTGTCGGACATCGGGATTTCAGGATTCATTGAATATGGTTCGGACATCTGCAAGACACGGCCAAGGTGCGCATGCAGCGCACCACGACGAGGCGCAGGAATGGTCCGAGTGTCCTTTCTGCCAGATTGCTGCACTCACACAAGCACAATGCTGAAAGTAAGACACAGACTGAAATCGAGTCTCTTAACATAATAGCTTCTCGGCATGGAGGAAACCCTGCCCCCTGGACCTGCAAAAATGGTGAACTGCAAAGGCATCCCTCTGTGCCCCTTCCCGGCCGGAGGCCCTGCATCTTGGCTCCCGTGACCGTCCTGTCCATGTTGATACGCTCGTCGTAGTCCGGAATCGGGACGCCCTCCGGCCTTGGATCGCGCTCCTAGTTCTACCCTCACCGCCACTGGTACTACAGCTACTATACTACAGCTACTACAGCTACAGCTACTACAGCTACTACTGGTACAACGGGTAATTACTGCCACCACCTCCTCATGCCCCTGCTTCTGCTATTGCCAGTGCGGCTCCTGCTTGTCTTGACCGCTGCTTAGAACCGTGACCAGGCTTGCTACCTCTACGGCATGCAGTACTGACATACTTGCATGCAATACACCTACTGGACCTACTTACATTAAACTAGAACAAGGAAACATGCATCAAAGTCATAGAAGGTCACAACATCACAGCCACTAGCACAAGGGCTTCCTTTGCCAAAGTGGCTCATTCTCGTCGTACCACTTTCTCCACGCAGCCTCGTTTCCTGAGAAGTCTTGCTGCCATGCATTGAAAGTTCAGACAGGAGTTCAGGGTTTGTAGGGTCGAATAGGGTTTAGGGTCTAACAGGGTTTAGGGTTTAGGGTGGAGGGCGAAGGGCTACAAGGACTGTGAATTGGAGAGATCAGGTATCTATATACAAAGCTCTGGGTTGAAGATACTCCGGACTCCAGGTTAGGGTATTTCTGCGAGATGACGACCGGCGGCCCCGAGCTTTGAGCTGCAAAAAAAATATCCGAAAAGCTGAGCACCTTCCATGGCAGAATCAGCATGTCGACATCAGGGGCCATGAGGTAAATGGCTTGTGCAACATGCAGATTTGCTTCCTCTGTCCACAGAAAGAGATAAATCTTACAGACCCTAAACCCGAAACCCGACACCCTAAAGAACCGTGGGCCAACTCTTTGTCTCCAAAAGGCGTTTTAGGGTTTAGGGTTTCCAGGGTATAGAGGTTCAGGTTTCAGGGTTTAGGTTTTAGGGTTTACGGTACCTTTCCCTTAAACTCAGACCTCAACCGCAGTGAGCATCAGGCATGCAGGGCATTCAGGTACTGACATGAAACGAGGAAGCACAAGATCCTGTTCAACGACTTGCAGGTGGGTGGTTGTGAAAATAAAGGTCCCTTTTCGGGCACCCTAAGTAAGAGGTGCCGTATCATAATAGGGAACCAAACAGGGACCATCATTTTGACAACCACCCATGTACGGTTTAGGGTTTAGGGCTTAGGGTTTAGGGTACCCAGGTTACCCAGGGACGAACTAACTCCACAGTGTGAGGCACTCAAGGCATTCAACAATATACCGCTAGTCTAAACCCCAGGAATCGAAACTCTTCAAACCCAAACCCCCAAACTACCCTAATCCTAAACCCCCAAAACCTCTAAACTCTAAAACCTGCCTCAAATGGCCTAAAACCCCGAAAAACTCTCAGCACCTCCAGTATACCTGCATTCCGCTCCAAGCGTCGTTGCATAAAGTCTGGGATCTCCCTGAAGAAGACAATCCTGATCTGCACGCCAAGGTCTGGGGATTGAGGGATCTAAGGATTTAGGGGTTTAGGGTTCAGAGTTCAGGGGTTCAGGAATTGAGGGTTGTTCTATATCCTTGTTCCACGCATGCCAATTAGGATCCCTTGCGCTTCGCCCTTGCGCGTTCCTTGGGCGTGCTTGCGCGCGCGAGGGTTTTTTAAGACTAGGGTTTGTTACTGCGGTTTGTTGACGCTTGGTGGCTTCGAGTCTAAGCTTCGGCTGAGGGTACAACACGGGGGCTTAAAGGCTCAGGAAGTTGTGCTGGATCCTCCATGGCTTTGGGCAGGCGACCTTGCGCGCTGTCTTGCGCGCGCTTGCGCCGATCTTGCGCGGAGGATGCCGTGTCAGAACCTAATTTTCAACCGTTCGCGACTGTGCTATACCGCAGCTTGCAGAATATCAGAATAAGAGCGCCTATAATTACTCCAAAATTGGAACGTCCTTGGTTTGGGTTTAGGGTTTCATTTAGGGACTATAGAGGTGTAGGGCTTAGGGCTTACGGGCGGTTTAGGGTTTAGGGTTCAGGCCGGGTTACATACAACGCTGCTGAGTATCACTCTTGAACCAACCTTATCAAGAAGCCTTGAGCATAGCTTGCGCTCGCCCTTGCGCGCCCTTGCGCGCGATCGAAAGGGTGTGCACTTTTTTAACCGACCGAGTTTTCGCTAATCGCCCTCCTAGTATTGTCACAAGAACCCCCCAAAAAGAAAAACGCTCAATTAGGGATTTGGGGCTTTACGGCCTGAGGGGTCTGTGAGTTTAGGGCTTATAGGTTTCAGGTGTTAATATGGCTTTGTCATACGAAAACCCACCAACATAAGAAATTGAGGGGCCCGAATGAATAATTCGGGGTGCTCTGGGCGCACCTAAGGCTCTAATGACAGCTTTGGAGGGCTCGAAATGCTCAAAAAAGCTTAATAAGTTCTTACTGAGGCTCTATCATAAATTGAGGGGCTCGATTTCCGAACTTTGAGGGGCTTTCAAAAAATGAGATGCCAGCAAGATTGAAGAAACTGGCTGCGGCCGTGCTGCTGGTCCATGCCAAAGGGCTGACGCGAAAGGGCGATGACGTTGAGCCACACCTCGAAGAGAAGCAGGCTGTCTCCCTAAGGGTCCATGTGCCTAAATAGGGTTCCTCGAAGGGTGTGCCTTTCAGGGTTCTATGAGGGCTCTCTAGGGTTTAGGGTTTAAGGGTCCGTGTAACCACACAGTATATACATTGGCCTTAAAGCACTCCCTATATGGGTACATTGGGCCCAAAGTATATACTATTGGGCACATGGACCCTTGGGATCTGGTACTGAAACATACGTCGCATGCTGCTGACTCACTTGGAGGATCATGGGACTTAGTAAGTAAGGCTCTAAGTACCTTCATTGGAGTTATAAGTAGTTATAAGTAGAGTTACACTAATTATAACCCTAGATACTAAGTCCCATGATCCTTTCAGCAGTTCAAACTGCATCCACTCCGGCAAAGATCGCAAGTCCAAAAAACAAAACCTTAAAGCTTCTAAACGCCTACCAGGACCCCCCAAGTACCCTTTAAAGGGCTCTAAGATTTCTCATTAAGAGGTAATTGGGGGCTATACTAAAAGGGTAGTTGGGGGGTCTAGGTAAGCCCGTAAGCTCTGAAGCCTCGAAGCCTCCATACTGCTATACTCGATGGCCATGAGGATGGGCGAAAAGGCAGCATAGGCTTTAGGAGCTGAGGGTCTGGGACTTTAAGACTGTAGGATTTGATGGCTTTTCGTGGATTTATGACAGCGAACTCCAAAGGGCTTGATTTTCGGTCCAACCCGTAGTCCGCATTGCCATGGTCGCCTTTTGGGTCGCCTTGTTCAAGATCCCTACCGAAGAGCCCTTCGACCAGCACTGCCTAGATCGCTTCAAAAACTCTTCTGCTCCTACAATCTGCCAATCAGTTCCGGATTGTGGAAGTGAGGTCGACAAGACGCCAGCAGCATGCCGAAATCTTCCTGTATGCTTGACAAAGTGTGGTGCTCTACACACTTCCAAACCCTAAACCCTCAGCCCGAAACCCTAAACCCTGTATGCCCCCCCCCTAAACCCTAAACCCTAAACCCTAAACCCCTCAAAAAGCAAAGAAACGAACTACTCCAAAGCAAGCGAGGCGGCCTTGTCTGGCAGCCACTTACCAAATGGATTCGGCCGTTCTGCCTTGCTATCCAATGAAGATCCAGCCTGCGGGGCCGAGTTCTTCAAAATTCGGAAGAATCTGCAAACTGCATCTGATGCGATCTATCTCTCACTCTTCTCGCTCTCGTTATCTCTCGCTCGCTCTACACGTGTGCTTGCATATGTAATTTTGTAAGTATGCATGCATACATGCAGCTGCATGCATGTATGCGTTCATGTAGGTATGTATGCATTGATGTAAGCATGACCCATGCATGTCCCCATGTACGTATGTGTTTAAGTTAGTCTGCACGTATGCAAATATGCAAGTATGTATATGTATGTGTGTATATATATATATATATATCTGTATATGTGTGTGTGTGTGTGTCTCGGTGTGTCTGCGTGTTTGGGCATTTGAGAGAGTGTAGAACTAATGGAATCATTTCAAACACACACACACACATGAGTCGCAGGTACATCAAAACATACACACCTATAATATCTACCTGTCTGAATACTTGCATGCTCCTATGCACACAACAGCATTTACAGAGACAGGTATGTAGATGCCGCGGATGCTTACTCAGGACATGGGCAAGACTTGCATCACGTTGGTGGGCTCATCATTTAAGGGAATTAAGGATTTAAGCGTCGTGGCTCTATTAACTCCCTGCTCTTCTGCGCCCAGGGGTTTAGGCGTTCGTGGGGTTGGGCTCGGGACTTCGATCGAAAGCCTAAGGCGATGTATCAAGGAAACTGAGCAGCTGTCTCATCCGGTTTAGGGTTTAGGCCTTATGGGTTTAGGGGTTTGGGGTTTAGGGTGATAGGGTCTGACTTGCCTCTGCTCCCGGCTCCCTCAACATCCATCCTGCTGCCAAATCCGACTTTAAAGCCAACGAGCCCTTACCGACAATCCTCATGAAGCTACAGCCATGCCATGTCCGTCGCTATCATTTGAACGATCCATAGAAAATGATTGACACAATCAAATCCCACTGCGAAATCTCAAACTCTAGGGCTCCAACTATCCACAAAGTACCTACTTTGGGGGGCCTAAGGCTATTCGGATCCCCAGGGATTATATAAACATGCAGGGGATGGTCGCCTTCAGCAACATGGACACATCGCCGGATGTGATCCTGGGATTCCAAGAGGTTTGGGTGTCTTAGTCTCTGACTTCATAAGCCCCCAAAAGTGTACACTTTCAGTTTTGTAGTGGGTAATCTTCTCCCAAAAAGTGTAAAGTGTATCCACTGAGCTGCTAAGGTGTGAACTGGAAGCACTGACCACTGTCAGAACATTACAAACGCGGCGAACAGCGTTTTTGGATGCGGTGTTATATTGTGGCTATAATTGCTACTCTTGCGTTTCGTGCTTTAGGTCTCATTGTCTGCCTGGACCGTTTTTTGTGATTTAGCATTGAACTGAATAAAAACACTCGAGTAGGGTAGATAATGTCCGCTGTGCACATGTTCAAAATTTATCACGTGCTGCAAGGCCCACTCAACCAGCTGTTCCTCAGCAGCAATGAAACGAGAACGAACCTAGTTGAAGAGGGACGAACAACAAGCACCTACTAGCTGCCATCACCAGGGGAACAGAACATCACTGCAAGCAAGCAGAACCATACAAGACATAACAAAGCACAGCACCTACACAGGAGCTTCCGTGATGTCAAAAACCGGGACACACAGTCTAGACTCCGGGAAGTACTCGAGTCTCCATGGAGGTTCAGGGGTAGCTATAAGTAAGGTATAAGTAGGGTAACTAAGGTTATATCCAACATTAGGGGACTTGTAGCCCCGCTTATGACTACCCATGAACCTCCAAGTCCTTCGCCGAAGCTCTGACTGGCCACCAGCATGATCTTCAGGGTAACAAGGAGCTTAAAGAGCATCTTGTCGCGCTCGTAGAGGCCACGGTTCATGTACCTGTAGACCTGGAGGATTCGACCGTTGCGAAACTTAGGGTTGAGGATCTCGGTTTAGGGTTTAGGGTTTAGGGTTTAGGGTTTAGGGGTTTAGGGTTTAGGGTTTAGGGTTTAGGGCAGAAGTCCGGAATCTTGCTCTTATCAAAGCCAGCGATGCTTCCAAGCAGAGGGGAGCCCTGCCAAACCTTGTTTATGCCCTAAACCCTAAACCCCAATATAGAACGCAAACGTCACAAGTCCTGGTTTCCCGGGTGTGCTCGCAGCCACGATGGGTCTGAGATGTGCTGTTTTGTGTGCTGTTGGACAGGTCGGGCCTGGCTGTTTGAATGCAACCGTACCTGAACTCGAACATCTTGCATGCAGCTCACATGTAAATAAAACCGGGCATGATCCCCAAGCCCCACCTTCGCCACTGCTGCAGTCCACATGCACGTATATATATATATATATATATATATATCTAGCCACCCAAGGCCACCTGATACGTGAGGAAGTGGGTTTAGGGTTTAGGGTTTAGACCACCTGATACGTGAGGAAGTGGATGATCTTGTCCACTCGCTTCGAGGTTGGTTGGCACTTCTCACTGTTTCGGACCTCGGCGACCGGGAGAGGTCGTGGCTCGGCTGGAACCCTAAGGGTCCATGTACCTAAGTAGTATATACGTTGGCCTTAAAGTACGCCCTATATGGGCACATTGGGCCCAAAGTATATACTATTTGGGTACATGGACCCTTAGGGAAAGATTAATTTCTCTTGTTCCGGGTGCCAGGCTCCGAAACATGAAATCCCAAGTAATCGGTCCCCCATTGAGCTGTTTACTTGTTCTTGGGAGCAATATTGAAATCAAACTCCTGGATCTTTTGGAAATGTAGAAATAGAATTGACGAATACTGGAGTTCAACTCAATTTTACAGAAAAGCGCAGGAACCATGATTGAAGCACCCAGCCCCAAGAAACGTGGTAAAGACGTAGTGTCCCCAGATCGCCTACGGCCTAACAAAGGGTCGTTCATTCAAGACTCCTTACTAGACATTCAGGGAAATTGAGGGCTCCCTCATACGGTTCTCTGAAGGTTTAAAGCCCGTTGGGACTGTCAAGCACAAAAAGGAGCCCAGACTGTCAGACCCTAAACCCTAAACTCTGAATCCTAAACCTGTCTTGTTTTAACCTTGATAGATCCATTCTGGGCCCAGTGGCCGAAATCTCGAACTGCTCCAAGAATTGCCTTGGTTTAGGGGTTGAGAGATTTCAGGGGTTTAGGGGTTTAGGGGGTGAAGGTTTAGGGGTTTAGGGTTTAGGGTGTGCAGGATTGAGGGTGATGCTCAGCACGCTCGATCGGATTTTCAGAACCTGGACCTTACTGTTTGATGAGTGATTAAACGGCTCGCGCCATGTTATGGAGACGCCACAGTATTACTATCGTCATCGTCATGGCGTTCGTGATTTTAGCGAGAGTTCACGTTGGGAAAGACCCCTTCCGAGCTCAAGTGTCTTTGGTGCAGGCAACTCGTCCTCGTTTCCCCCAACGCCCTCAACTCTGCACCTAAACCCAAATCCTAAAATCCAAACAGACGCCACTCTATAGACTCTATACGACGAATAAGCCCCAAGGCTCCTACTCCCAAGACTCCTCCCTTTTCAGACCTACGCCCAACAATCTAACTCAGAACAGCCCCAATCCTAAGGGTCCATGTACCTAAATAGTATATACATTGGCCTTAAAGTACGCCCTATATGGGTACATTGGGCCCAAAGTATATACTATTTGGGTACATGGACCCTTCGGGCAAGCGCAACTAAACAGCTCACTTCCGAACCCCGGAGTCCACCTACTTGGAGGATCATGGGACTTAGTATGTAAGGTTATAAGTACCTTAATTGGGGTTAGAAGTAGTTATAAGTAGAGTTACCCCAATTATAACCCTAGTTACTAAGTCCCATGATCCTTTAAGTAGAACTGCCCTCAAGGAGCAGCAGAGAGCAGTTGTACATCCATCCGGAACATTGGCTGGTGATGGGGTTCACCACATTGGTCATGTCCTCAAGGCTCGCTGCTTGCAGTTCTAGGGAACTAACCTAAACCCTAATTAAACCTGAAAGCATGGCACTTTAGAGATTCCCTGCGGATTTTTCCAAACCGAAGCATGTCAATATGCTTAGACCTCAGCTGTACTGAAGGCTTCTCCGTCTGTTATGCATATGTATATCCGCATATATCTATCTGTAAATATAAATATAAATAAATATATATATATATATATATACACACATACATATACATACAGAAATAACGTAAGCTCCCTCCCTCCCTCCCTCTCTGTCATCCTGCCTCCGTCCCTCCGATTCTACTGCCCTGCCCCGCCCCCTGCTCCACCCTCCCTCTCCATCTGAGTCCATATCATTCTGTATTTGTACCTATGTTGGTTATGAACTGCTGGCTCACAGGCTGTCGCGGTTGAAACACGGCAGTATGTCTTATGTCCAGGGGCCTAAACAATTACAACAGGGTTCGGGCGTACATTCTAGTATATTATGACAAGCACAATAAGCAAAACTCTTGTTAGTATTCATTCCGCCCCCAGGTCAGTTGATTGAGAGCCGAGCCGTCATGTTGAAGTACATGATACTGCCTGCGGGCATCGCCGTTTCGCTCTGCAAGCTTGACGGCTTCAGGGTCAAGGCGTTTATTTGGGTCTTTTTAGTTCGGTTTTGCCCGTAGTCTCCATTGTAGTTCCTTTATGGGGTTACCTTATAGGATCCTTATTATATATTTGGTTAAGCCGCAAAAAGGAAATACAATGGAGACTCTAGGTGAGTTTTGGGTGAAGGCAGCCGGGCCTGTCTCGAAGCTAAAACTGTGCAGGCATCTTGGGGGCTGCACACCACACATCCAGTGCATCTTAATCGTCTTAATCACATCTTGCGAAGGTCTACCAAAGGAAACTCTGAGGGAGGCTGCAGAGCCGCAACGACGAAGTCTAAGTGTCTCTTTCGGATTCCATCTCAGCTAACGAAGTGCAAACAGGACAAAACGGCCTGAGTCTGAAGACTGCTCTGGGGCGAAACTACGTGGACGCCTCGTGTCGCCACAGGACGGAACTGCTCGCGCTTCTCGTTGATTTCAATCTTCCTGCCGACGAAAGCTTGTGGGGCGATGCAAGCATTTCAGAAAAGCCGGCGAAGAAAACCAATCTCAGTACCTAGAGGCTCCATAGTAGTTCCTTTTTGGGTGTTCATATTGAGAATCCTGTACGGTAATCCCAAAAGGAACTACTATGGAGACTATGGGTAATTACACCTACTTGACAAGGAAACCTGGCAAGCAGAAAACCAAACCGTCGATGCCAGGTGCTAAAGGTTTAGGGTTTAGGGTTGTTTCTTGGGAGTCTGTGATGGCGAGAGGATGGGTCGTCGAGCATGATTTGGGCAGCTCCGAAGATTCTGCCGAAAGCGATGGGTTCCTGGTCACCTGATCCTCATCCTCCCATGCTAGCTCCTTTTCTTAATCGTCATCAACAACTCGTTCTCCTTCTTAATGCCTGCCCACTGCTCGTTATCGTCATCATCCTCATCTTCATCTTCATCCTCATCCTCATCCTCCTGCTCATCATCTTCATCATCATCACCCTGTTGTCACCAACATCATCATCACCCTCAAGCTTCACCTTAACTAGCACAAGCCCCTGCATGCCGTGACACCCTATGCCAAAGACCCCGAACGCTCAAAACTCCTAGGAGAAGCAGCCGAAGCCCTACGAATTCCCGCGCCTCTCGTCGGCCTCCTTTAACTTGCCCTCAACCTCCTTTGCTTTCGCCTTGGTGTTGGCCAGCACCTCCGATGTGGCTGCTGATTTCCCGCATGTGGGGACTTCTGGGTTGCTTGGAGGTTCACGAGTAGCTCTAAGTAGGGCGAGCAACTACTGTTGATGATACAAATCCTGCATTACCTTAAGGACCCTAAACTATGGGAATTATGGTACATTCCTTATCCTTATTACGGGTCATGCAGGGCTTATATCATCAACCGTATGGTTATAACCTCTACTAGGGACTTATAACCCCCACGCATAACTACCCATGAACCTCCGAGTGAGGGATGTTGAAAGCTTCTGTTAGGTATAAGGGAGTTTCCGAAAATAGGGGACTCTAATATTAGTACCCTGCATAGTAGGATCCTTATTATAAGGACCCCAATTTAAGGTGCCCCTAATTTCCGGAAACCCCCATAAAGCTGAAAGGTCAATCCGAAACCCGAATCCGGGGAAGTAAAACAGCTTCGGGCAGGAAATGTACTGGCGCCAAGTAGGTCCTATCAAGACAATTCTGCTTTTGAGTTCATTTCAGGTCCTATCAGGACAATGCTGCTTCGGAATCTACTTTTTTACAGTCAGTAGTAATCAGACCCCTTATACCGCTTGGAACAGAGGAGGTTCCAAGTTCAGCAGCCTACCCAAAGGCCCGATAGTAGTTCCCTTTTGGGGTTCATATATAGAATACTATAAGGTAATCCCAAAAAGGAGCTGCTAAGGGGCCTCTGGGTACAGGCTACAAGAGCTGACATTTGGGTTTAGACAAGGGTTCTTACCACGCTGGTATATGCAGGAGTTCCCAACATGCACCATGATACTGTCGTCAATCTGCGTGTCCCCCTATGTAGAAGCGCGAAAAACCAGAAATATAGTTCCAACTTCTCATGCCCCCATATCAAACCTGATCAAACCCATATGAAAGCCGCACCTGAAATAGGGAGCTCGATCAAGGCCCTATACGACCATTGTAAACGCCCTTTAGGTATTCTGTGGCCCCCATATTGAAGGAACTTCGGCTCTAACCCTAAACCCCTAAATTGTAAGCCTCTAAACCCTGAACCTACAAGCCATTATAAACCCTAGATTGCGAAACCCCGTTTCCCCTGAACCCGAAACCCCTAAACCCCTACGCCCCTAATCCCCTAAACCCTGACCTTAGAGAGCCCAATACCCCCTAATTAAGAAATATAGCTTAAATCATAATATGAAGCCCTATATACTTCAAGCCCTATTCCTTAACTAAGCGGTATTGGGCTCTCTGGGAATATACCCTTCTAGAACCCTTTAAAGGAACCTTTACAGGATCCCTTTTCAGGAACCCCTGAACCCAGAGCTTCGGCTCTCTTCGCCTCGATGAGCTCCGTGTCCTCCAAGAGGTTGCCCTGAGAGTTGGAGAGTCGGTCGAGGAGCCTCGGGTGAAGAGCGAAAAAAAAGAGGGTTTAGGATTTAGGGTTTAGAACATAGGGTTTGGGGTTTAGGGTTTGGTACTGGGGGTTCAGGGGTAGTGGGGCTACAAGGGCTCCTTTAAGGGCCCCTTTAAAGGGATCTATAGGGATTCTAGAAGGGTCATGGGTCGAGAGCGTATTATAGGGGCCTTACTCTTTTCTTTAACAACCGGGCACCAAAAAGTTCAAACTTTCTACGATAGAGCTAACATATAAGGCCCAACAGTTTAAAGTTCCCCCGTTCACTATCTAAGCTTATTGATATACATGGCTTAATACTAAGGGTTCCTTTAAGGGTCCCTAGTAGGGTTATGAGTAGGATAACTGTGGCTATGACCTATATTTGGGGGACTTATAAGCCACTTATAACTACCCATGAACCAAGCAGGGACCTAATTAACTATCAATATTCTTTCGGGGGGTTCCTTATTATAGCCAAAATGTAACATACACCAAAACCCCAGGAGTTTAGTATCTTGAATGGGTCTTCTAAAGGATCTAGAAGGCTTGATATCTATTATTACAGTGAAAGGAACCCGAAAGGTCAAGCGAGGGGTTTTAGGGTTTCGGATGTTTACGGGGTTGTTGCAGCAGGGGAGGTTTTGGAAGGGTTCTCTAAGGGTTTCTACAGGGCTGTTTGTGGCTTTAAACCGGCTTTTATGGCGTGTTGAGTGCTTCTTTTTGATGAGGGTTTCGGAATCTTTTGGAGAGGTTAGGGTTATTTATACGGGTCCCTGTGCGGCCTGACAGTGAACTATAAGGCCTTATGAAGGAATCGCTGGTGTCTTTCACAGGCGTTGCTTGTGAAATATTTCACTTCTAAGCGGCTTATACATTCAGGAAATATAGGTTCGGAGTGCTAAGAGGCGCATAGGCAATTTACAGGAACCCCAAAAGGATAGATCCCTTATAGGAACCCTTCAAAGGGCCCTTAAGGGTTCAGGGTCTTCTTTGGTGTCTGAAACTTCGGCCTTGGGCGTGTGGTGGAGTGCGGGGGTCTACGAGAGGGGCCTTAATGACTACAATGGGGCTTTGGGAGTATATTGAGAAACTATAAGGGCCTTAATAATTACAATGGGGGTTAGGGGGGGGGGGGGGCGGCATGTTATAAGATATTCTACTGTAGATCTCATAGTAAGGAGCCACAAAATAGTGTTGCTACTGCTTTAGGTACCCAAAGTTGTTTTGGGATTTGAGGTTCAGGCTGTTAGGGCTTTAGGCCTGAGGGCAAAAGGGCTTCTTGCATGATTTGGGCAACGGGTGGCATTGTAAGGACGGGTCCCAGACGATCCAAGGCGTGAAGTGAAGTGAAATGAAAACCCTGCAACTGACACAACAAGACAAGCTGGAGAAAGGAGTTGAGTAGAGCAACAGCTCAGGATTTGCAGTTCGGTGTGGGTGGCATTGGAAACACAAAGACGCAAACCACGAGGCGTTCGAGGTTGTCAGGCTTACAGCTGCGGCCCTGATCCAGAACCTTGGACTCTAAACTTCAAAGCTGCATACTATAGGGGCCTTAATAATTGGAACAGGGTTTGGGGTGCCATTATACGATAATTATAATAAGGAACCCCCCAAATAGTGTAGGTAATCATTGAGGCCCCTAATATTGGACCGTACAACTCAGGCTACAGAGTCATTGTAGAGTATCAATGTCCTCACAAATATGCCTTCGTGGGCCGACATCGGACCCTGCGACCACACCCTGCATCCTAAACCCTGAACCGCAAACAAAAACCTAAAAACTCTAAAACCTTACGGCTAAGACTTGAGTCAGATGTTCAGTTTTTTTTTCTACTCTCAGGCGTTTCGATTCCGTGCTTCGTAAGAAAAGGGGCCTGCATCGTTGAAATAGGGCTCTAGGTATGCTGTAGTATAGCTACATAGAGTGGGAAAGTACTGATTCTACAGACGTTGAGGGCGCCTATATAACTATAAAGCCGAGGCTGGCGCTGCTTGTCCAACAGCTGCAGGGACTTTGTGTTGTTTGTGACCTTGGATTTGCAACTTCGGGATATGCTACGATAAATCTGTGGCTCATTTTCCCTGTTTGAAACGCGAGTTTTCTGACATGGCCGAACCTTCACACACAGATGGCAAGAGGCTTTTAGGTATTTGGGCCTTAGGAATCTCAGGTCTTGTCGGTTCAATGTCCTAAACCCGTTCCCCACCCCAAATTCCTGGACCTGTATTTAACTCGAAACATTAGTAGCACGAAACCCTGTACTTATCCATCCGAGATTCCAGAAAACTCGTCGCAGCCAACTTGATCTCCAACCCGGAACCCGTCAAGCCGTAGCAAGACAGGCCTAAACTCTGAAACGATGGACGGGAAACCCTCGACCCTGAACCCTGCTTGGAGGATCATGGGACTTAGTAAGTAAGGTTATAAGTACCTTAATTGGGGTTATAAGTAGTTATAAGTAGAGTTACCCTAATTATAACCCTAGTTACTAAGTCCCATGATCCTTTAAGTAGCCCCCAAACCCTAGACACAAGGTCAACATCGGCAAGGGGCATCCTCCTCGAGAGCTGCCAAAGTGTCTTCCAAGCTCTTCATCTCCTGAGACAGGGGCCTTAAAAAGTAGGAAGAGGGCTTCTTTAGAAGGGTTCCCTTGAAGGGGTTTTCAAGGTTTGCTAGGGCTGTTGTGATGAGGCTTTCCAAGCGAGTGGAAAGCAGTGTCGTTTTTAGATAAGTTGAACGAAAAATAAGGATTTGTCAGTGTCGTGAGCGATGCAATACCACATGTCCTACTCATAGAACTGAACATTCTGCTCAAGCTTTGACTGAGCCAATGCTAGCAACTCGTCAGCTTGGGTCACAGAAAGCCCCCAGACCTGAGCAAAACCAAGCAGATACACCTTACAAGCCACAGTCTATCAGATGCTTCCGGATTGAACGGAACACGGCTAGATCGACCTACCAAGTCCATTCCACAAGTTGTAGAGACTGCACTCCGGGGATGTTGTACAACCGACACGGGGGTTTTAAGCTTCCGTTGCGCCCGCAGGTTACACCGTCCTAGCCTCTGTAAACCCTAAACCCTAAACCCCAAGTCGTACCCTAAACCCTCAGATCCGCAAATCCCCATCAACACGATTGATGATATAAATCCTGCATTACCCATAAGAAGGAATATACCATATGATTCTCATAGTTTAGGATGCTTGGGGAAATGCAGGATTTATATCATCAACCGCATCACCCAGAACACACACACACAGACCCTGAACCCTGAATCATGAACCTTCAAGCCCCTGAAACCCTAAACCCAATAAACCCTGACACCTGCACAGACGGCTAGGCCGAGGAGCCATGCCGATCAACTTGCCCAGCAGCTGCTGCTCCAGACCTTTCAGTGTCACGGTGAAGTCAATGACCTGAGCTTGGGGTATAGAGTTTAGGGATTAGGGACTGATTAGGGTTTAGGGGTTTGGGGTCTAGGAGTTTCGGTTTAGGGAGCTGGTTAGAGTGAATTCTAAACCCCAAACCCCAAAACCCTCAACCCTCGGCCCCCAAACCCAAAAAGCCCGCGTCTCGGGGTTCGGCCGTGGCTTTCGCAGAGAGCTCCGGTGAGAAGTGCGGATTCGGCAGTCGCGAGGTGAAGTAGAGCGTGAAGCTCTCCTGCATGACTAAAACCAAAACCCTTATCTAAAAAGGTTGCTTTGCAAGGGGGTCTACCAGGGTTCTAAAATGAGGGGCTTACATTTCCTACTAATTATATGGGGGAGGATGGGGTTGCTATCAAGGTCTATAGTTGCCTCAGTAATTAGAACAACACTGGGGTTTCCACGCGCTGGATTCCGATGTAATCAGTGTAGACACCCTTGATTAAGAATCGCCCTCTCGCAGCATCAGGAACTCTAGTCACCCTAATCTCGAGTCCCCAGGTGCTTTGCTGAAAAAAATATTGAGGATCCGATGTGCCGATGTGTGCCAGGGCCTGAGTACCATAGCCCAAAACAGCTAATTTGCTGATGATCATCAGGGTGACGCAGCAGCCTTTCCCAGTGCCAGCTTGTCTTTCAGGTAGGAGTGGATATAACCGACAAGATGACCCAAACCCCGCTAAATTTTAGAGTAGCTTGAATACTGGCCCAACAAGGAAAAGGTTGCCTACACCTCATACTCCCTGAACCTTAAACCCTAAACCCTTAGGCGCGCAGGCTGAGGGAACGGGAGTAAAGGGCTTCAGCTCGGGTCGCGTCGCTTACGGTTTGCACTCTTTGCTCCCTCGGCGTAGGCCCTAGGTCTGGCAAAGGCTAAACTTCCTTTTTCAAGGGTTTGCCTTCCAGGTGGGACATGAAACTCTCGAAGGAAAGCAGCTCTGTACACTGAAGATGGTATCTTCTGTTCAAGCTGCTGCTTCAAGCTTCTGTATAAGGCTTTCGCAAAGGCGTTTACAGGGTCTAGGGCTTAGCTCTCGGGGCTTAGGAACTTGGGGTGCTTTAGTGCTCTAGGGGGCTCTAGGTGTTGTCTGGAGCCGGCCTTGTAATCCATGTTCTGGTCGCTGACATTGATGTAGAGATTCTTGCCTCATGGCTGTTGGGAGTACTCTTGGGGCCTAGGTTACAATGCAACATAGTATACTGGTATATTATAACGAACCCTAAGCAATAATATTGTTATTTGTGTAGGCTACTCATACCAGTACAAACTTGACCCTCAAGCTGCCCTGTGATGGCAGTTCGGGGCTTACGTAGGACGTATGGGTACTACCTTGACATTGAAACTGCCGAAACTAATTCCCTTCCGCACAAGACTTCGCTGCGAGTTCACAGGCATGTAAGGAGTGAAGATTGGATAGCACTTGGGTAGGAAAGCGCCGGAAACCAAACTCTAAAACTCTGAACCCACAGTCCGTCTTCAAGCACGAGACCCTTCTTAATGATCTGCTTGTCCAAGACCGGGTCCAACATCGGATCCACCTGAAATCTTTACGGTGTAGGGTTTAGGGTTGTGGGCATAAGGCTTGTATGAAATTTTTGATGGTTGCAGAGGACGCCGTCAGCGACAAAAGCCATGCATCCTACATACATTATAGCGCATGTATGTACGCATGGAGGGTTACGTAGTGGCACAATACGCTCCAAACTATCGGCCATGTCGATGTGTACTGTGTTCTGCCGTCTATTTCTTAGTGTATTGTGTTCTAAGCATTGTTGTTCGGATGCAGTGGATACCCACTTCCTTCCCTTATGCTCAGTGTCCTGCTTAACAAGAGGTGTGTGTGTGTGTGTGTGAAGTTCTCCTACGGCTCCTTGCAACCGTTTAGAGTTGAGGGTTGAGAGATCTTGGGGTTATCAACGCCGCGCCTCGTTCTCCACGTTCTCGATGATGAGGCACAGCCCTTCACCTGCAATGTGCTTGGACTGTCTCGCTTGAGATGACTCTTTTCCATCAGCTCCAGCCCCTCGTGGTTGGGTGTACGGCTTTAGGGTTTAAGGTTTAGGGTCGAATTTTCGGGTTTAAGGTTTAGGGTCGAATTGAGAGGTGAGGGTCTCGAGTTGAGGGTTCAAGAGACCCACGCATAAGTACGAGTAGCAACTTATTCTGCGATACAAACCTGCGACATTCGATACGATGGTCATCGTGTGACATTGTGAAACGACATCGGGAGTTTAGGCAAACGGATTGTGCGCATCCATCCAGGCAAGCAACCCATGGTGAACTCGATCTGGTCCTTCAAGTTCTTGGCCGCCAGCGTCGTAATGCCTGAGCTGAGAGCTCTAACCCCCCCCCCCCCAATAAGCCACAGAAATAGGAGGTTAAACTTTCCGCTTCGTACTCATCTATAAGAACCCAAAAACTTTGAAGGTTGCCTATAGTCTCCATTGTAGTTCCTTTTTTGGTTTACAATTATATATTAAGGATTCCACAAGGTATCCCCAAAAAAGAACTACAATGCAGACAATAGGTGGGTATTGGGGATCTAATGCTCATTTGAATCCCCGAACGCTGGGGGCTCTTTCGGGCATAGCCGGTCCCTGCTCAAAGCGGGCACTGCCTTGCCACGGCAAGAGCCAGAAGAATCTTCAGGGCGTCATGTCTGTAACTTGGGAATTACGCATCCCAGAGACTCCAATATCCCTTAATTAAGGAATATATACCTTAAAATATAGTAGGATCCCTAGTATGATTTAAGGGATGTTGGAGTCTTTTGGTCTCGGGTTTAGGGGTAGTACTGTGTCCGCGTGTGATGCTGGAGCGGACCCCTGCAGGTTAAGTAATTACGGGCTCCAGGGAACAACGAACACTATTAAACAGCCTAAGCACTCAACCTCGACCCCTATTCTACTTGTTAAGTCCCTTGTAGTTACTCGAAATAATCCCAAAGCCCCCTTCTAGTTCTTAAGGCTGACAGGCCGGAAATCATTTCCCCGTCCAGTTCGCGAAGGCTGAATAGCAAGCACATAGGGTGGAAGAAGCACGAACAGAATCGAACCAGATGTCGCGCATATACTGCACTGATAACAGGTTAGGCTCACGGGGACAGGTTGTGGGGCTTGCAGTGCTCAGGGCCGAAAGTTCAGACTTCCGTTGTTGCATTGTTGGTGGATCGGGCCCAAACCTTAGACCGTTTCTTATGTCTACCACCAGCTGAAACTTCCAGGGTTTGCACCAGGGTTGATGAAGGCTATCTCTTTGGGGGTTGCATTTGAGGGCTGCCGCAACATCGCAGCCACTTGGTGATTCCAAGGCGCACATGGTGGGATTCTCGCTGATGCGCGCCTTCTCCCTTGACTTGATCCAGCGATTTGCCTGTCCTGATTCCAGGTGCATGTACGGTTTAGGGGTTTAGGGTTATGTCAGGGTGGTCAGTACGCTCTGCCAGGGTGCCCACTTAGTTAGAGTTTACCCCACCAGTCCCAACCACCTCAATGCTAGACCCTCAACAGCATTTCCTAAAGGCGAATCGGCGACCACCATGCATTTTTGTCCAACCTACCGATGACCTGAAACGAGTCAGAACAGCAGCGACATCGAGAATAACAAGAATGCCAAGGAGTGCTTACGATCTTAAGCCTATATCATGCTGTTGACCTGCTCGGAGCAACAAGGCAGAGGGTACGGGCGAAGCATAAACGACAAAGGTAATATAGTTTGTCTACGCAGGTGTGCTAAACCACATGCCTGTAGCTGTCCTAATACTTCCTCATCAGAGTCCTGGTGCTGCCGCAAGGACGAACTCACATTAAGTCGTTGATGCTGAAACCCATGACTGGTTCAAGTTTCAACAACATCACCGACGATGACGATGACAAGAAACCACCAGCACCAGCACCAGCACCAGCACCAGCACCAGCACCAGCACCAGCACCAGCACCAGCACCAGCACCAGCAACAACAACAAACACGCGCACACAACCGCCGCCGTCGCCACCAGCACCAGCACCATCACAAGCAGCACCAGCACTAGCAGCACCTGCCAAAGCAGAAGTAGAAACATCAGCATCGCCGGTAGAACATGATGCGTTTTTGCAACATCAACATCGTCGCCACTGCCGCGAATTGGTGTAATCACCATCAGTGACCGCCGGCATCGACTGGGCTACCACAGCAGAGCCCAATGCCACACCCGGAACCAACGCCGAAGATCCAGCATCACATCATTACTAGGCCACTTCGCTCGCATCCAAGCCTTGTGGGTCGACCATGAGGGCATACCGCGAGGAGCGCGTGACCATAATTGCATTCTGGATGGAGAGCTCATCACCTTGCTGCGCTCCAAGGATTCGTATGGGTGGTTGTCAAAATTAGATGACCCCTTTTTGGGTCCCTATTATGAATAGTACGGCACCTGTTAGTTAGGGAACCCAAAAGGGGACCTTAATTTTGACAACTACCCGTATCAAGCTCTGCTTTGAGATCCAAGCGGTTCAGGGCGATAGAGGTCTTGAGCCTTAACTGGGCTTTTAAGTATCCGAGGAGAAAAACTAAAGAAGTATAAACGGTTATTTCATAAGGGCTCCTTTAAGAAAAAAGTACTAAAGTATGGTACTCCAAAGCCCAGTTAAACTTAAAGCGCTTAGACTTCCTAGCTTTGGGAGGTTGGCTTCCGAAACCTGTGAGTCATCGCATGCGGGAGTTTCCGAAAATTAGGGGTTCCTTAGATTTCCTTTAAAGGGTTACTATAAGGGTACTATAAGGGTTCCTTTAAAGGGCTCTATAAGGGTCGGTTTAGAGTTTCCGAAACATAAGGGTACCTTATTTTGGGGTCCTTAGAATAAGGATCCTAACATTGAGGCACTGTTTTCGGGTCCTCTCTTTTCCGAAAATTAGGGGTACTTTATTTTGGGGTCCTTAGAATAAGGATCCTACTATTGAGGAACTATTTTACGGTCCCCTATTTCGGGAAACTCCCATGTGTCCATCCGCTGCAAGCCGAGGTCCCGGAAGCTAACTTGAACTCGACGCACTAGAGGGAAACCAAATCCGTGGCTATACTATAGGGCCTCAAAACTTAGAACAGGGTTTTGGTGCCATTAAACTATAAATGTAAAGTAATATGGACCCCCCAAAAGAGTATAGGTAATGAAATATTTATGCTCCTATAGTACTTGCCCTCCATGAATTTACCAGACGGCCCCTTCAACCTGGCTGGGCATGACACGTGCATTGACTGGTTGGCTGGTTGCGGTGCGTCTCTGTGTGTGTGTGTGTGTGCGCACTTCTCGTGCGTGCACTTCTCCACGATGTGGTGCTGTGTGTGTCTATGTACCAACATGTACCGCCGACGCCCCAAACAAGAAGCTCGAAACCCTGAAGAGAAAATCTTCAAACTGCTGAGCGGTTGAAGGCTCCAAACCCCACACGATCAGCCGAGCGACTCGGCAAACCTTCGAGCGCCCACTCGCCGATGGTTCCCTGGTCCACGAGGAATGAGACGACTTCCACCTCGATGTAGTGGCTCAGGGCTTAGGGTGTGCGATTGAAGCGATGTGTCCACAGTCAGGGACGGAGTAACTATGAGTTTTCGGGACCAAATCGCCGCGGCATGTTGATAACCTGCTAACCCTAATTACACTACACCCTCAAGGCAAAATCGCAGCTCGAGGAGGCTCGAAGAAGAACCAAAACAGCGTTGGAAGCCTTGCCACCAGAGCTCCTATGCCCCAAACCCGCAATGCCCTATCCGAAATGCAACACCGCAAACCCCTAAATCCGTAAGCCCAGACCCTAGGCCCTAGACCAAAAACCTAACCACAACCCTGAACCCTAAGGCTCAACTGCTGAACGCTGGCACCTTCTCGTGTGCGGGGACTTGCCGTTTCTGCGTGTCCGCCTGCCAGAAGCAATGACTATCGGCGCCTAAACAATTCCCAGTACTATTTTTGAGGGGCCTGTTTATAAGTATAGTAGAACCCACCCCCAAACCCTATTCTAATCATTAAGGTCCCTATAGTAAGTAGCCTTGACCTCCGAAAGCTCTTCAAAACCCAAGCTCACGTTCCACGGTTTAGAGTTCGGGTATAAGGTATGTCGAGGCTTAGAGTCCTAGGTTTGGGCTTAAGGAAGTTGGATCTAGGGACCAGGCAAACTCGATGTAGGTCCTGTAGCTATAGCTATAGCTTGCTGTCCAAAGCCCCGGCTCAGTTCGGAGGTGCTTCTGATTGGGGTTTCATATTTCCAGGACGCCGACCACATGTGAGCCAACAAAACCAAAACCCTAGACTAGACCATACACCTTGAACCTCAATCCTATAAGTACAGTCAACCCTTAGCCTTAGGCCGAGTGGAGCCCTTGCGCGCCGGGTTAGACAAGCTGCTATGTATCTGCTCGAGACTGGTGTTCCGAGGGCTCAACAATGGAGCAACATGGGGACCCCTACCCTGTAATGGGCTATATAATGGGTATATAATCGCTATATTACGGGTATATACCTAGGGGTCCTTATCAGGTGAAGGAGATATGATGACAAAATCAAAGATCCTTGCGCTCCCGATTGCAGCCTTACAGGGTTTAGGATCCCAAAACTCCGAAACCGTGAGCCATGAAACCCCCCTAAACCCTAAACCTTTAAACCCTGAACCTTAAACCCTGAACCCTAAACCCCCGAAGGCTTGTCAAATGTGGACCAAGAGCAGAGAGCGCGAAGCAGGAGACAAGAAACTCCCAAATCCTGCGAGTCAAACTCCATTCCTTTGACTCTACTTGGAGGATCATGGGACTTAATAAGTAAGGTTATAAGTACCTTAATTGGAGTTATAAGTAGTTATAAGTAGAGTTACTCTAATTATAAGCTCAGTTACTAAGCCCCATGATCCTTTAAGTAAGCCCCAGCTGGACCCTGAAGGTATGTAGAATAGGAGCACGCTATTGGTAGTGGGCCATTATTTGATCTTGCTTTCGGGGCTTAGGCGCACCTCAAAATCCCAAGCTTGTATCAGGCGTCCCCTGCTCTCCTGGAACTGGCTGTACAGCTTGTCGCGGAACTCAGAGTTAAAAGGCCCGCAGTAAACCTCGATGGAGGGACAGTGCGGCAGCCACGATCAAGTACGAGGTGTGGGGCTTGTAGCAGCGGCGGCGTAGGTTCACTGCGAATGCGGCCGCTGTCGTAGTAAATAAGAACCCCCAAACTAGGAGTTGCTTGTAAAGCCTTCGAAAATATTCTTAGGTAAGATCCTCTTAAGCCCAATAAGAGCAAATATCAAATGTCCCAAAGCCCTACCTAGCAAAAGCCCGTGGATAGAACGTGACCTCAAGGACGGCCGACAGCGGTTTGATAAACTACTGTAGGGGCCTAAATAATTATAGGCTATACTATTTTGGGGGTGCCTTTAAAGGGGTCTGGCAGGATTAGTATAAAGGGTATAATAAGGATTTGTTGTAGGGGCCTAAATAATAACCTATGCTACTTTGGTGGTTCCTTATAATTGTAATTATAGTATAGTGGTCCCCAAAACCCTACCCCTATATTATGTTAGGGACATGTCCGTCGCTTCGGAACTTGCACCTGGTAGGGAAAATGGAATGAAATTGATTGATCGAGACATGGCTTAATTACAACCCTAAAACCAAGTACTCCTCATCATAAGACTCACGGCCTTAAGATTGCCAAGGACTACTTGGACCCGCAGGGCACGCTGCGCTGCAGCCGAAGAGCAACGAAGGCGCAAACACAGCCGACATCACCAATTAGCCTGGGAAGCTGGCGAAGATGCGAGAGGGTGACAGCAGTCACCCTAAACAGCCAAGCATCACCTACCCCAAAACCGTCCCCTAACTATGCCCTGACTCTCAAAAGAGCCGACCGGTGCAACCAGCTCCGCACGAAGCCGTGTCCAAGACCTGGAAACCCTAAATCACAAACCCCCACCTACCATCTATTACACACGAAATACGCACCATTAGGGACCATAATTAGATTCATAAGGGCTCCATCAAAGGGCGCTCGGGGGGTCCTGGCATATGACCTGCGGCTTGACTCCCATTCTGAAGACGTTTGTTTAGTTAACACGATGTGGACAAGCACTTCCAGGAGGCTGAAGGTAGAACACCACGCAGACCCTGAACTGTCCGGCTGAGATGAAAAAAAATCTTGCGCCTTGAAACGAATCCAGCCCTGCATACAGGAGTAGTGCCTGTAAGATTACTTAAACAAGCTTAGACTCATGAACGATATGCCAAGAAGACACGCTGATCAATGCCTAAGCCTTTCTTGGTAGCTCAAGTCATGGAAAATCCCCCCCCCCCCCCCCCCCCCCAGGGCGCCTCTTGCGCCTCAATGCAAAGTTCTTGGAGTCTTCGGTCCTTCCCGGATTTTAGGGTTTAGGGTTTAGGGTTTAGGGATGCTTTTGGTTTTGGATTACTTCACACACACACACACATATGCTACGCTAAGCTTTACGTCTCTGAGTGAACCAGAAAATCGAAGAAACCCCGGGACCCAGGTTAAAGATCTCAGAAGCGAAGCTCGATAGCATGCACGTCGTAGCGCCTACAGTACCCAGCACGTCTGGGATTTAAGGCTTCGGCAGTTATGACTCCAAACTGCGCCGTCTACAACCTAGCTTGAGCCGTGAACATCGAAACCGCTGATGAAACCCTACATCCCAAAACCTAAACCCAAAACATCCCGACTTCCCTCACTCCCCGCGAGCGGGTCCATCGCGCATTCTCGCCGGAGAGGCCGGAAAGAAGCTTGTTCCTCAAGGTCTGCGCCCTAAACATGCCCTAAACCCTATATAGGGTTCCGGATAAAAAAGGCCACAATTAAGATCCAGCGCGCAACCCCAAGCCCTAAGGTTTAAGGAATAGGTGTAGGGCTATATGCATATATATATAAATATATACATACATACATACATACATACATACATACATACATACATACATATGTATACGAAATTCACAATAAGCCTATATACACTGAGCCCCTAAACTCAAAGCCTTAAACTTTACCTGAACCACAAATAACCTACTCTTCTAGGGTAGATTAATGTGATCTTTCTATCTAGAGCCTTAAGAATGCAGTCCAGGTTTTTAGGATGTAAGCCTTCGTAAGCCAAAAAGCCAATGCACCCTAAACCCTCAACAACCAAGCTTTTTGGGAAGCCAAGGATCGCAGCGTCCATCTGTCGTTGCATTGCTGCGGCGCTCTCCTGAACGGCTCAGGGATTCGCTTTGGTAAGTTAGGGTTTCGGGTTTAGCGTTTGGGGTTTAGGGTTCGTACTGACGGGTGTACCGGGATTGAAGGCTGTGTTCGTGGTTCCGATGTACTCTCCAGTCTCCAGCCTGCCCAAAGTGCTAGGACTCAGGGCTCAAAGTCCAGGCGCACTGGTCAGAGAGCCCATCCATGATGATAGCAATGACGATGATAATTGTTGACAGCGACAACGGCGCTGACGGGCACCGACGCTGATCACATGATGCTTATCATCATCGTCAGCCTTGGCAGCCTCAACATCATCACCATCGTCATCACCATCAACATAATGGCCACCACGGTGGCGCTGCAACCAACAACAGCGGTGTTGACGAGCAGTGATAGTGATGACAGCGAAGCTGGCGATCATGCTGACGGGGAGAAGGGTAAGCGTCAGGGCGAGCATGCTGACACGGATAATTGGCTGGAGTTCGCGCCATTTTTGCTTCAGAATGTATTACTAACTTCCAAAAACCCGTAGATGATGCTGTGACCACGATGACGACCCAAGCGACTGCTGCCAGCACTACATAATTAGATCTCCTCTCATTCCTAACCGTACAAGTCGTGAAGGCCGTACTACTAGTCGTACCTCCACTACCTTCGCAGCTCATGACACCAGCATTGCAACGACGGCACCTACCACCACGGCAACCACCGCTGCTTCTCCTTCAGCCAGTGCCGCCCCTGCTGCTGCTGCTGCTGCTGCTGCGATGCAAGTTCGGTGGCTGCTTTCGGCACTGAGCGATTACCACGACTAGGACCGCCCAACGAATGCACTGAGTAAGATTTTTGCCTTGAGGCGCGGTATGTGAAATTAGGCATCTGTTAGAAGGGGCCCCCGCCCTGTAATTAGTGGTATAATAGGAATATAATAGGGCCCTAATATAATCCTTATAGTCACTATTACAGGGTGGGGGCAGCTTCTAAGGCATCTGTGGGTTGGAGGTTGTTGACCTGACGATACACAGCTCGGATTCTGGGCTATTGGAATGTTCAGAAGGGCTTGCCTATCATTATAGTATCCTTAAGCTCCAAGGGGGGTATATAGCCTAGTGATCCCTAACTCTCCCTAGGACTCCCTAAGGTTCCCCTAAGGATTCCTTGTACCCTCCCCCCTTGAACCACCCCCCCTTAAGGATCCTATAATATCACTTGCTGCGAAAGAAAACTGTAGAGCCCAATAAAACCCCAACATATAACCCTTACGAAGTCCTTCGTAGACCGCCCCAAACAAAATATACACACATATACATTCATTTATCCGATATTTCTTTTCTCCATAGTATATATATATAACGGAGACATGTATACAAAGCCCACACAACATGTAAATCCCTATGCAACTCCCTATACATGTTCAAGAGCCCGACGGCGGTCCTTCAACTGGTTCATGACGCCCTGGGCCTTGGCCAGCTCCGCATCTAACTCGGCGACCTCTCCGGGTTGGGTTTTTGAGGCTCAGGATTCCTTCTAGACCTAAGAGTAACCTAGGAATAAAAAGGGTGCCCCTTTTGGTTTAAAGGGGTTTATAAGGGAACCTAAGCCTCAAAAAAGGGAATAAGGGCCTACTCTGGGTCCTAGCCTTTAAAGAGTTCCTTCAGGGGATCCAAAATGCCGTGGAGTTAGTTGGTTGACGAGTGTCAGGTATTTGTGGGCTCTTAAGGGCTCCGGCTTGGGCGTTCAAGGCTTGGACTGTTGGGCTCAAGATCCGGGGTGAGGGTTGGGCTTAGATTAGACTCCATACCCTGAACACCCGACACCCTTGACTCAACACTCCGAACTTGTAAATAGAAATACATAATAGGAGAAAAATACATACACCCTCAACTTGAGATGGATGCGGCCATGACGGAACGAAGCATGAACCACACAATGGTCGGAACAAAGCCATCCTAAACACCCTAAAGCACATGATCTCAAAAACTCCTATACTCTGAACCCTAAACCCGGAGACCTGTACCCGAACCCCTAAACCCTAAACCCTAAACCGTGAACCTCTTCTGGGACCGAACCATCCGAATGCCATGCGACCATCCCCTAGGCAACGCACCACCTCGCCCCAAACACCTAACCTCCAGACTCCCGGACGGTTTAGGGTTTAGGGTTTAAAGTTTAGGGGTTTAGGGTTTAGGACCACAGGGGACAAGGAGGCATCGTAACATAGCGGCTTCAATGATTAGAATAGGGCTTTGGGGGGGGGGGCGGGGGGAGAGGGGGGTAGATAAGTCTATAACTACAACAATAATGAGGAGCCCCCAAAGCAGTATTGCTACTCATTTAAACCCCTATAGTAAAAACTATGCTTGGTTGTTAGAGTAGCTTATTACGTAAACCGAAGTCCATAAAAGCAGCGTAGATGTGAGAGCTTCAGCAAGCAGCAACCATTGGTAGGATCCGTACTTGGAGGGGCAGGGGACTTAGTAAGTCGTTCATAAGTAGGGTTATAATTGGGGTAACTCCATTTAGGGTACTTATAACTCTACTTATAACCTACTTCCCTCGTCCCCTGCCCTTCCAAGTAATCCTTACCTCCGACAAAGGGATCCTGTGGTGTGGGTTCTAGTCGGTGGCAGGAATAAACCGATTGTATATGGCTTACTATTCGGGCCTGAAGGATTAGAAAGGGGGTCTTCGGGCCCATTGTACTATGCTTATAAGTAAGGAAACCCCCCCTAAACCCTAAACCCTAAACCCTAAACCCTAAACCCTAAACCCTAAACCCTAAACCCCCAAAATTTTACGGGCAATTATTACTATTGCCCGTATGTTACCTCACAAGGGGGACCTCCGCGAGCACTTTGTTCAGCTCCTCTTCCGCTGCGCCCAGCTCGCCCATGGCCTCGTCTTGGGAGGAAGCTGGGGGAAGCTGAGGGTGCAATATAGGGGCCTTAATAATTAGAATTGGGCTCTGGGCCCATTATACTATAGTTGTAATAAGGAGCCCCCAAAACAGTATTGGCAATAGTGTAGGCCCCTATAGTAGGGGAGCAGAGTGTGGGATTGATGGGTTTAGGGCATAAGCTTGCGGTGTAGGGATAGTGTAGCCCTAAGGGTCCATGTACCTAAATAGTATATACATTGACTTTAAAGTACTCCCTATATGGGTACATTGGGCCCAAAGTATATACTACTTGGGCACATGGACCCTTATCCCCTAAACCCTTATCGATTCCTTATAGATCCCTTTAAAGGAACCCTTATGGAAACCCCTTTAAAGGAACCCTATTTGGGCACATATGGACCCTTAGGGGGTTGGGTTTAGAAGTTACGGGGAGCTTCGGTTCAGGGCCTCCTTAGTTGCTGAGCTCATAAGCAACCAAAAGTGCACACTTTCAACTTTATAGTAGGTACCTATAGTCTCCATTGTAGTTCCTTTTTTTGGCTTTAACCAAATATATAATAAGGATCCTATAAGGTAACCCCAAAAAGGAACTACAATGGAGACTACAAATAATATTATCCCAAAATTAGGGGGTGGTACTGGCAGAATTTAGGGGTCTAGAGTGCAGGGCTTGGAGGATGGATCGCCATAGCGACTATATCTATCACACCCTGAGGGTCCATGTGCCCAAATAGTATATACTTTGGCCTTAACCTACTCCGAGATATAGGTACATTGGGCCTAAAATATATACTGTTTGGGTACATGGACTCTTAGGATTTCTCACAACGAATCTCACTGCCGCGCTCGGGGCTTAAGGGTCAGAGTAGCATTGAGGGTATGGCAGCCCGACCGCCAGGGTAGAGCTTTAGCCTACGGTGCTGGAGGCCGCATCGTCTGCCCTTGCCAGTGGGCAGCTGGAACATAATTTAGGTGGGACCTTGAAGCCCTCACCCTATGAAACCCAACTGTTGCCCAGCCGCCTTGAACCCTCAACCTGACCCACATCAAGCCCTAAGCCCTACACACTAGACCCAGTCTATATCAACCCCTACCGGATCCGGAAACCCTAAACCCTAAACCCTACTTAACCCGAACGCCCCTTACAGAAACCGAACCTTAACCCGAAGAGAACCCTTGTACACAGCCCCTATATAACAAGAGTCCGTAGATCTTTATAGAGAAGACTTTACAGACCCTACGGCTCCATGCACCTATATGATTCTTGTATATACTTAGGCCAGACAGAGGTTCTTTGGCAGATACTCTAGGATACCCAGTAACCTAAGGCCTCTCTTTTTGGTATTGGGTAACTTTATAAGGAACCTAGGACTACAAAAAGGGAATAAGGGTACTACTGGGCATCCTAGCCCCTAATTTTCGGAAACCCTAAACCCTTTGCAGAACCCTTGTAGATCCCTTTAAGGAACCCTTATAGATCCCTAAGGGACTATATGGGCACATGCAGCCTTCAGGAGAACCTATAGGAAACCCTTCAGAAACGAAAAATCCTTGCTCCCGCCTTCGCCAACCGGGCCTCAGCGACCTTTAAGGCATCCATCTTGGGCTTCACGATCTTGGCGGCCCCGTGATACATCACCTGAATAAGACTACTTGAAGGTTCATAGTTAGTCAAAAGTAGGATTATAAGTAGGAGAACTATAGTTATAACTTGTATTGGGGGACTCAGAATTATCCATGAACCTCCAAGTATGTAGGGTTTGGGAGGGTTTGGGGTTCTTACATCAGATTGATACAAATTGGGCTTGGGGTCGTTGGTTTTTTCCATGTATGACCTTTTCGACAGTTCAAGCCTTCCCCATGATCAACTATGACGATAATCGTAAGGGCTCGGAATGTAAGGACACCTGTGACACTTCGCAGTTCTGACATTCCTGATGATATAGTGCGTGCCCTCAAAGGGGAGGCCTGAACAAGTAGAAAAAATCCTACATGATCCCAAGCTACTCACATGCTAGGAGACACCAATCGTAATTCAGCTATTCAAGCCCCAACGTATTCTCTGGTCCTGGGTTCAGATCCCC